TGCATGTGGCAGAGCTCGGGTTGCATTGTAATAGGTGGCCTGTGGTTTGCTCTTCTCCACACTTGCATGTCATGGACTCCACTTTGTGGCTCCATTTCTTAAGGTTGGCTCTGCATCTCCTGGTGCCAGAGCGCAGTCTGTTTAGCGCCTTCCAGGTCATCCACTCTTCTGTGTGCCCAGGAGAGAGTCTCTCATTCGGTATCAGCCATGGGTTGAGATTCCGAGTTTTAGCCTGCCACTTTTAGACTCTTGCTTGCTGAGATGTTCCTGCGAGTGTCTCTGTAGATCTTAGAAAACTATTTCTATTCTTGTTGGTGTGCTAGCTGATATCCGAACAGGGCCGGAGTTGTCACTGCCTTGGTCCTTTCATGATTGGCTGCTACTTCCTGGTGGATGTTAGGTGGTGCAATACTGGCTAAGCAGTATAATTTCTCCAGGGGTGTAGGGCGCAGACATCCTGTGATAATGCAACATGTCTCATTAAGCGCTACATCCACTGTTTTAGTGTGGTGAGATGTGTTCCACACTGGGCATGCATACTCAGCAGCAGAGTAGCAAAGCGCAAGGGGAACAGCTACTAAGAAGGCCCTATAACGGTCATTAAGCCATTTTTAAACATAAGTAACCATCTATTTCTGTTGGATAGTTGAGTGGAGGGAAGTGTCAGATCTATGCTGTAGTTTTCCTCCTTCCCTCTACACACACATGAACTATGAGAATATACTTTCCCTTCCCCAACTTAATGTGATGGACTAGAACTCCCATCATCTCCGTTCAAGCATCCCATGTCTCAAAGAGTTCAAGGTGTCAACACTCAAGCCACACATGCATATACCTCCTTGTCCCATTTGCCACAATGATTTTTTTTTTCATTTCAGAAGAGGAGAGTCAGGGGTGATTTGAATGCAATATTCCTGCTTCTTGGCAGGGGGTTGGACTGGATGGCCCGTGAGGTCTCTTCCAACTCTTTGATTCTATGAGTAGTTCTCGGTGAAAACGGTAGAACTACTCTTCCCCTAAGGAAGCCAACATGTCTTGCAGGAGGGGGTTGCTTCAAACAAATGGCGATCTCTGCAGAGTGGGAGAGGACATGGAGAAAGAGTGCATAGAAGAGCTCACAATGGCCTGGGTGGACAAGAGAGGAATGCATGATCAGCTCTGGGCACTATGCCATATTGTCACCATCCTGTAAAGGGTCGTTGACCAGACTGCTAATCTTCAAATTCCATTACTAGAATGGTCTCTATAGGGCGGTTGGTTAAGGACTGCAGCTGGATCCAGAATTGCAACAGCCAAGCAGGGCCGGAATTGGGACACATTGCAGGGACCATAGAACAGGACAGTTGGCTTCCTCTACCAAAATTACTTGACTGGCTTTTTGATGCCATGCACCTTAATGTAGGTGAGGCCTGGTGCAAAATACCGCTCCCCATCCAGCAGCAAAATGACTTTAGTTTGCCCTGATATTCTCACTTCCAGCTAGCACCACAGAAGAGAGCCATCCCCTAACTGGCATCCCAGATATGCAAAGTCATTAGCAGTCACTGTCCCCAATTGTGTGTTGTAATCCAACACATCTAGAAGGCACCACTCTATAGTGGGCATTGCATTCAAACCAACGGTTATTGCTCTTATATGGTTTTTGATTATTCCCCCCTGTAAGCGGCAGGGCACACTTCTAAAGGATTTAATGTGTTGTCAAAAGCTTTCATGGCTGGAATCACTGAGTTGCTGTGTGTTTTCCGGGCTCTCCTGACATTTTGCCCACATCTATGATAGGCATCCTCAGAGGTTGTGAGGTTTGTTGGAAACTAGGCAAGTGGTGGGTGTGTGTGTGTGTGTGTGTATACACACACACACATGTCCAGGGTGGGAGAAAGAACGCTTGTCGGTTTGAGGCAAATGTGAATGTTGCCATTGGCCACCTTGATTAGCATTGAATCACCTTGCAGCTTCGAGGCATGGCTGCTTCCTGTCTGGAGGAATCCTTTGTTGGGAGGTGATTAGCTGGCCCTGATTGTTTCTTGCCTGGAATTCCCCTGTTTTTGAGTGTTGTTCTTTCTTTACTGTCCTGATCTAGAGGGTTTTGTTTTAATACTGGTAGCCAGATTTTCATTTTCATGGTTTCCTCCTTTCTGTTGAAATTGTCCACATGCTTGTCCATATGCTAATCACCTCCCAACAAAGGATTCCCCAGGGCAGAAAGCAGCCAAGCCTTGAAGCTGCAAGACTGCTAATCAAGGTGATCAATTGCAGCATTCACACTTGCRTGGACATTCCACAGATATATTGTCGAAGGCATTCATGGCGGGAATCACTGGGTTGTTGTAGGTTTTTCAGGCTATATGGCCATGTTCTAGAAGCATTCTCTCCTGACGTTTCACCTGCATCTATAGCAAGCGTCCTTAGAGGTTGTGACCACACAACCTCTGAGGATGCTTGCCATAGATGCAGGCAAAACATCAGGAGAGAATGCTTCTAGAACATGGCCATACAGCCCGAAAAACCGACAACAACCCATTCCACAGATATAGTAACCCCACTTTCCTAGTTTCCAACAGACCTCACAACCCCTGAGGATGCCTGCCATAGATGCAGGTGAAACATCAGGAGAGAATGCTTCTGGAACATGGCTGTACAGCCCAGAAAACTCACAGCACCCCTCTAAAGGTTTTGTTTGCTGGGGCCTCCTTCTTGATTTACCGTCTCTTGTTTTCAGTTGAGGCCGTTGGCGCAAAAACCGAGACCTATTTTTACCCGTTGCAAAGCTGAACGATAATGATTTCCTATGGGAATATCCTAAAGCGTTTGGCAAATTGCTGGAACCAGTTTCTGGTCTAAGGTTTTTGCTTCTGACAAAGAAACAGATCTGGTGTAAAAGGGACTCCCATGATCCCTGTTCAAGCATCCCAGTTAGACATCCTTGAAATCTAATTCCTAGAACTTCCATTTTGGGGGAGTGGGGTCTCTATTAGTTGGAGACCCATGGGAAAGAATATATTTTTCCTATGTGTGTATTGGCTGTTCAGTTGTTGATGAGCTGTGTGCGTATTACAATGTGGGGTGCAGAGAAAGCCAGACCTTAATGACACTTTAGTTTTGTGCACATCATTTTCAAAATGAAATCCAACTGTTTGAACTGTCAAGATTAAGTGTGTGGTTTCCTTTAAACGGCACATAAGACACACTTTGTGTTTTTGTATGGCATTGAATCGGTACAGTTTTTCATCATTTATGAGTTGCTTTGAGTCCCATTATTGGGAAGAGGATGGGACATAAATGAATGTTATTCAACCCAGGAAGGTATTAAACCCAGGTTATTCAACCCAGGAAGGTACTACTAACACTAACTTGCCTGAGCAATTTTGCATTATTATTATTATTATTATTATTATTATTATTATTATTCTCCACTTTGTCTCTCTAAAAAGATATTTAAAGTGACTAACAACACTAAAAGCAATACAATCTATACACATAATAAAGGTGAAAATATGTATGCATGTGTGTGGCTGGGGTGCCTACTTTCACAGACACTTCCACAAACAGCTTTAACCCACAGTGCAGCGGAGCCAACAAAAGCCCTCCCTCCAATGACATTTCAGGTTATAGTGAGCGCCATGAATCCAACCGCTGCCAATGTCCTCCCCAAACACCATACTGCCCACCACCCAAGGAATGCTTTCACTTGGCGACATTTTCATCCTAGATTTTACGTGTTTCCTCCACCACAGACATCCTAGTGTATCTTACTCTCACCATTGGTGTGGAATTTGCATGATCCCGCCCACTGCATCTTCCTTAACCCTTTCCTATTCTTTTCAACTCTGTCTGCACAACAAACAGAGCAGAACTAATCTGCAACTAAACATACTGGAGGGGTTGGTGGGATTTACTCCACATGATGGAAATCGTAGCTCACCCTGCATCAAGTCAGTGCACTGTGACCCCCACTGACAATGGACGTGGACTGCATTTGGCGCACAGAACCTTTATGACCAAAGAAAAATACTGGAGAGGTTTGGGGGGAATTCACCTTGGTTTACAACCATTGTAAGTACTGGGATTTATAGTTTCACTGCAATCAAAGAGCACTCTGGACCTAACTTGGCACACAGAACCCCCATGACCAACAGAAAATATAGGAGGGCTTTGGGAAAAATTCACCTTGAGTTATAGGAATTATAGTTCACCTACATCCAGAGAACATTGTGAATGCAAACAACGATGGATCTGCACCAAATTTGGCATGCATACCCGATATGCCAAAATTTGGTGGGTTTGGGGCGGGGGGGGGGGGGAATTGGCCTTGACATTTGTTAGTTGTAGGTACTGGGATGTATAGTTCACAGGCAATCAAACTGTACCCCACCGATGATGGACTTGGACCTAACTTGGCACACAGAACCCCCATGCCCCCATGACCAACTGAGCATACTGGAGGGATTTGATGGGACCAACTCATCATGATACTTTGAATGTGATTTTCCTGCTTCTTGGCAGGGAGTTGGACTGGATGACCCATGAAATGTCATCCAACTCTATGAGATCTATGAGTCTATGGTGAGAAATGTAATTCATCCTGCAGCCAGAGAGCACACTATACCCCATCGATGATGCATCTAGAGAGCAAACTTGCCCAACATGACAAACTTTAAGCACTGATGGAGTTTCAGGGGGTTAACCTGGCATGATGTGAGTTATAGTTCACCCACAACCTTTTACATTTTGTAAAAACAACTTCTAATTACCCAGGCAATGCAGGATGGCTAAGCTAGTATAAAATACAAATATCAAATATTGTTACTATTTTCGATTTCTAAAGCAGGGATGTACCTCTCAAAAATATTTTTTTGTGTCCCCTCTATACCTTTCGAGGCAGCTCTCTTTCCCTGAGATTTCTCCCCTTTCGCCAAGACTCCCTTGAGATCTGTAAATCCTACCTGGAGCTCGGTTTCTTCTTTGCTGCATCAATTCTGTGATGTTTTCCTGTTTTGTAGGCCTCAGAGGTGGAAAAACAGCTCTCTATACAGGTTCACGTCCTCCAAGAGGACTTCAGGGAGAAGAAGTCATCGACCAGCCAGCATATAGTCCGACTGGAGAGTCTCCAGGCCGAGGTGAGTCCACTTTGAAAAAGATCCAGAACGAGACGGCTGTTATTGCAACGAAGGGGCAATGACTCAATACCTTATTGCAACGAAGGGGCAATGACTTGATAATGTCTACACTGCACAATTATAGCTGTCTGATCCCATTTGGACTGCCACGAGTCCTTGCTATGGAATCCAGGATCTGTACTTTGGTGAAGTGCTTTCTAACCTTTTAGAGCTCTCTGGGAGAGAATTCCAAATATTTGATGAAACTGTAAATCCCAGCATTCTGTGAGACGGAGCCATGGGAGTCACAGTGGGATCAAACTCCTGTACATTGTGACACTGAATGCTAATGCTCTTCCAGGGAGAGTCCACATCAGGCAGGGACTCTGCATGTTTGAATGCTGCCCTGGATGTAGGATTATGGAAAGAGGATTAGATTTGAGTGAACCTTTCCCCTTAACATGCCAACATTGCCATTTTTTCTACGTGTGGTGCATTTTGGATGGGCTGAAATGATAGGTGGAGCGTCCCATATCCAAAATGCTTGGGAGCAGAAATGTTTTGGATTTTTTTTTCAGATTCTGGAAAACTCTTATCTATCTATATCTATGTAATACTTTTGTGCATGAAACCAAGGTTGTGAAAGTAAATGTGTCGCTATCTTGGCCACCCATGTAGACAATTCTGGAGTATTTCCAGTAAGCAAAGACACCAGCAACAGGATGGGGATGATATTGACAAAGGAAGGGAAGCTTCTGTACTTCACCCAGCTGTCTTTGCCTCTGTTGAGCCTCGGATCCTGGAAACCAACCTGCAACTCATGTTCTTCCGCTGATCCACATGTCTCCCTGTGTCCTTTTCCTCCTTCCCTTTCTCTCTTGTTGAAGAAGAGTTGCAAAATCTTCCTGTTTTGCACTGACAATAAATGATGCAGGTCTGAAAAAAGAAAAATGTGTCCCACTAGGCTTTGAGAAATTAAATGGACTGGGATTTTGCTGTGCAATTGTATGGTTTGTATAATTTTTAAAGGCATTTGATTGTTCTGTTCTACTTGCAAAATTGCTTAATTGATTTATGTATTTATACTTTTAGCAAAACCTGGATTATTTTAAAGATGTTGTCCCATTATTGGAAGATAGGCGGGGATATAAATGAATAAATAACAATAACAACAATAATATACTCTTTAGAGAGAGTATCCCCATGATGCATTTCTTGCATCCTTTATGGCCAACCAAAAAGGTTTTTTTTCTTGGTGTGTTCATTTTTAGACCTGTTTCTGGAGTTATTTGGGGTGCTGATTCAGAAAATTGCATTAGATAGACGACATCAGCTCTAAATTATTAAATATGGTTTTCTGTGGGCAAGCAGAGGCGACCACTGGGTGGCATATGTTCTGTATCAGAAACTAGAGCTGATGTGGTCTGTCCAGTGCAATTTTCTGAATCAGTACCCCAAATAACCAAACCAAATCTAAAGTTGACCAAAAACCAATTTGTAACCCTTTTGGTACTAATGTCGGAGAGTGGTCCCTGGTCAAAGTGGTCCCTGGTCAAAGTGGTCCCTGCTCAAGTGGTCTTTGGTAAATAAAGGTTGGGAACCATTGCACTAGAGGATATGTTCTGTATGGATGCACTCATATGCTTATATTTTGTACACACACACACACACATATATATATACTTATACTTATATTTGTACCCTCAAAATCAGCTGCTGTTCCAAAAGGTTGGACTACAATTCCCAGAATCTTACAGCCAGATTCGGAGAGTTGTAGTCCCAACTTTGGATTTGCAAGAAGAAATGAAAACCAGGTTGATGGTATATAACAGCCACAAAGTCTGTTTAGGGAAGGCTCGAAATCAATTCCGAGAGCAAATCTCAAATACATCCCTACAGCTAGTCAGAAACAGAAAGTACCGAATTAGTTAGACCAATATTACATAGCTAGACATGTACTTTATTTAAAATTAGATTACCCGATATTTATTGAAAGTAAATGAGAGCAAGCGAGGAAGAAAACACACCAAAATATATGTTGACTCAAATGCCAAGGCAACAATTTTCAGACACTTAAGAACAAATGACCAAAGGTTTTGAGAAAACCATTTCCAGGCACCTTTTAAAAGCCCTGCAAATTTTCTTAAAGGTCACCTTCATATTTTATGCATTTATATCCAAGCCTTGCTGGCAAAGTCATACTTCGAGCCTGCAATTGATTTTTTAAAAAAGTTCTGGTGAGAGAAACAAAATTTGCTCTTAGAAACAGGGCTGGAGGGGGAGAGACATTTCCATTCGAGAAGGGTGCTTTCTTTCCCCCCTTGGAAGTTTGTCGATTTCTTGTTTTTTCCTCCTCGTGAACCCTGACTTTTTCCCGTTTTCCACCCTCTCCCCTGTCCCCTCCATCTTCGGCTGTGGAGCAGCAAGTCCTTGAAGTAAGTACAGAAGCTTTCACGGGGTTTTGAATGCATTTCCATCACCCTCCACATTGCATGACCTGTTGGCTGTGCTCTCCGTGTCTCTCCCGTCTGGGTCACTGGCTTTGGTGTGTTTGGCGGGGCGGCAGGAGAAGTTTGGGGTGGGGGGCGAAGGGTCTCTGCTGATCTCCAAGGGGCTGTTGTTTAGGAGGACTGTTTGGGAGCACTGGGTTTTCACTCCAGCCGTGTTTTCAAACCTCAACGTCTGTGTTCAGTGCTGGATTTTCTCTTGCAATCCCTTGTCTCCTTAAATTGTCCTGGCCAATTGTCCATGGAGCTCAGCATTTTCTCCTCCACCAATAGTGATTCCCATCATGGTTGACTCAGGAGAGACATAACAGGACTAACTCGTCACGGAGCCATGGATTTCTAGGATAGGCCTAAAACACATTGGATTGATTTATTCTACTATACTGTATAAATCCCATAGATCCCATGGGTCTACTCTAGTGGGGATGGATGATTGAATTGGAGCTGCTGTCTCAGAAATCTCTGATCAGTAAAGGCACGCTGCTCCTATGTTTCTGGTCACCAAACGAGTTGCTGTTTTACTCTTCCTCGGATGTGGTCCCCAAATTTCTCAAAGGCAATTTTTGTGAAAAATACAGAGAAAGTTTTGTTTTGATGCTCTTTTCCTTCATATTGCGATCCCACTTGGATCATCCTCTCCTAATAACAACTTACGGCCAAGGGGATTCCTGAAAACATAGGAAGAGCTACAGTGGATCAGACCAAAGGCTACACCTTTTCACAGCTACCATGTTGGCTGGGAATTATGGGCATTTTCTAAGTTCTGCCAAGGCTCCTCCAGTCATCATGCTGTCCCATGGTCGCCAACGCAATGTCTGGAAAGCCCAGAAGTGAACTGTCCCTTCTCAAAGGCCACAAATAACACCATTCTTTGCTATGTGCTGAACATTGCATGCTGCTTGGCTTAAGAACATTCTTTGAACAGAGGTTTGGCTGTGAAGAAGGGCTTTTAGCTGCTCAAAACATCTTTGAGTTATTTGGGAAATCCCCCCTCTGTACATTTTATTTCATCCTAGCTCATATGTTTTGTAAAAATGTGCAATGGGGATGGCATGGGCTTTCCATGGGACTTTTTAACAGACTTGTCTTAGAAGCAAAATCCGGGAATAGAGTTTTATCTGTAAGATTCTGGTGTTTGGCTGCAAGAAGAATGGAGAAAGGGAGGGCCAGGGTTCGAAAGGTGTTGCAAGAATGGGCTGACAATCCTTTCTTGCATAGGAGGTCACATGAGAATATCATAAACTGAGTGGATTCCTAGGAAATTCCTGGCTGGTTTTTCCCCATGAAAATACATACATTATATATATATGTGTGTGTGTGTGTGTGTGTGTGTGTGTGTGTGTGTGTGTGTGTGTGTATGTATATATATATATATATATATATATATATATATATATATATGTATGTATAAAACAAGACATAGGGGGAGTGACATGTAGAAAGAATATTGTCAGGGCTAACCCTACTATTTCCCCTTTTGCTGCATTCAGAGCCAGCCTACCATGAAGTAAAATGAGGAGGTTGCATTAATTCATATAGAGATGTTATTAGGAGATATTTCAAGCAGTTGAGGACCGTGAACCTTTATAGTCACTCCATGTGACTGTTCCAGGTTGCCAGAGTTTTGCTCTGGAGAGTGATCCTGTACCTTGAACTGCCAGATTAAAAATTGAAGAGGGCTCCTGTACCTTTAATTGATAGATTGAAAACTAGATAAGGCTCCTGTACCTTGAGCTGCCAGATTGAAAATTGGAGAGAGCTCCTGTACCTTTGATAGACTGAAAACTAAATAAGGCTTCTGTACCTTGAACTGCCAGATTGAAAACTGGAGAGGGCTCCTGTACCTTTGATAGATGGAAAACTAGACAAGGTTCCTGTACCTTGAACTGCCAGATTGAAAACTGGAGAGGGCTCCTGTACCTTTAATTGATAGATTGAAAACTAGGTAAGGCTCCTGTACCTTGAACTACCAGATTGAAAACTGGAGAGGGCTCCTGTAGCTTTGATAGATGGAAAACTAAATAAGGCTTCTGTACCTTGAACTGCCAGATTGAAAACTGGAGAGGGCTCCTGTGCCTTTAATTGATACATTGAAAACTAGGTAAGGTTCCTGTACCTTGAACTGCCAGATTAAAAAACAGGAGAGAGCTCGTGTACCTTTAATTAACAGATTGAAAACTAAATAAGGCTTCTGTACCTTGAACTGCCAGATTGAAATCTGGAGAGAGCTCCTGTACCTTTCATTAATAGACTGAAAACTAAATAAGGCTTCTCTACCTTGAACTGCCAGATTGAAAACTGGAGAGAGCTCCTGTACCTTTAATTAACAGACTGAAAACTAAATAAGGCTTCTGTACATTGAACTGCCAGATTGAAAACTGGGGAGGGCTCCTGTACCTTTAATAGCTGTGAAAAAGGGAATTTCAACAGGTGTTGCTTGCTCCCTGGTTTGTTCGACAAGTAGAAGTTTCTTCTGCACAACCATTCAAGGCACAAGAGCCCTCTCTAGTTTTTAGTCTGCCCAGTTTTTAGTCTGCCTAGGCTCTTCGCCCATTTTGAATTTGAGCTTCACCTTCAGCTAGGCAGGTGGGTGTATCTGTTGGCTTGCTTCTTCTTAAAAGAATATTCGTACATCACCATCCCTTCTGTACTACCAAGGGGGCAGTGTCCAAAAATAGAACAAAAAAAGTGCTATACAGAAATAAAAATCAATGGAATAACATGAAATACAGCTTTTAACCAGTCAGGAAATATATAAAAGACACAATTCACATGACTAGCTTAGAAAACAAGCCACTTTAAAATGCTAGGGCAAAATAATAGCTATTGACAGAGCATGGAAAAATTGTATCAGGTTGGCTGGTGGCACCTCGGTGTTGAAGAGAGAGGCTGGATTCACGCCACCTGACAGTTGGTCCTGTATCGATTTGATCACTGAAGGTGATTTTATCGACTCCAGTATAGGCTCTGCAATGCTTCTTAGCACCAGAAGTCTCCTCCCGTTTGTCCTTCTTTGTACAAAACAGAATATGAGTCACGGGGAGGCAGTTGCAAGAGGGAGACGTATTCTGTCGATGAAACCCATTGCGGCACAAAAACCCATATGCGTTGACATTGAAGGAGGTTCTATTGATGATTGGGATGAGTAGGAAATGGTTATGGGACTGAAGAACAGGGATGGAGGAATATGTGGCCCTCTGAAAGAAGATGGACAACTGCCTCCATCTTCCCTTTGGCAGCATCCTCCTGTATTCTTTCTACAGTAGTACGGTTCCCCTTTGATTCTCTTAACTCTATCCAGTAGAATCTTGGGATTTGCAGTGTCATGACGTTTGTAGCTTTCTTTCTCTGCCATGCAGCGCTGGTATCTGACCACACTACAAATCCCAGCATTCCATAGGACGTTGACGCAGCTGTTACAGTGGAATCATAGCGTTGCTCAGCATGAAAGCAGATCTTGAAAGCAACACGATGGTGCCTGTAACCCTTTACTGTTGAGGGTAACATATGTTGCTTTCGAAATAGCATCACAAGGGATAGTGCAGTTCGTCATGGTTGGTTTGGAGTGGCCAGAAATGGTTTTTTGATGGTTTTTAAAAGCCACGTTCTTCTTCTTTTAGGAAGATTTTCCCCTTCCAAAAATGACATAAAAGTATCAGCCAGCTTCTGTTTTTTGGAGTAAATCGTAACATGCTATATTGTTGTCTGAGAGGACCTTTCCATGTCTTATTTGAGAAAAGCTACAACTCCTAGTATCTTCCAGCCATCCCCTGGAGGTTCTGGGAGTTGTAGTCCAAACCAGTAACATTTCCCAGCTCTGCAGGAGACCCGCTGGGCTCGCCCCTCATTTGCTGGAAGCAGGCGCAAAGAGAAGTTGTGCAAAAGTCTTGGGCGGTGCGACCGACCCTTGGGCCGGCTGGAAACGGGGCAGGCTGTCCTTCCATGGGGTGTGTATGTGTGGGTTTTATCTCTTGGGAATTCCAGAGAACACAGTGGTCTGGCTTGGCTCCTGCCCTCCCGCTCCTTTGCCTGGCAACACGCATTCCAACTCCCCAGAGTTTAAATTCCTTCCACACTCCAGGCCAGTTTCTGAAGTGTGGGGGAAGGACGCCTTTGGCTGTGCGCTTTCCTCTCGGTGCCAGCCTCGGCTACAGGTGGAAGCGCTTCCTTACGCCACTCCATCTCTCTCTTGTTTTCCCTGTTGTCTCATCCTCCAAACCACAACTTGGGCTTATTTGGCTTTCCTTCCCTGTCTTCCCTTTTTTCAGATTAAGATGCTTACCGATCGGAAGCATGAGTTGGAACGCCGCCTGAGTGCTGTGATGGAGGAAAATAATCTCCTCCAGGGAACAGTTGAGGAGCTTCAAGACCGAGTCTTAATTCTGGAGCGACAAAGCCATGAGAAGGATGTGCAGGTAGGGAAGATGGTCGGGAATTCAAAAGTGTGTGTGTGTGTGTGTGAAGTATGCGAGGAGGAAAAGGAACCAGATGAAATGAAGAGTTTGGAACAAGGTTGCCAACTCATCCTTTTGGAAACCAGAAAGCAAGGAGCATCATACGACTCCATCCATCCTTGTGTTTGGTTTCTATGAAAACTGGTCATAATGCTGGAGGCTGCAGTCCTGTACCAGGTAACCCACCCACCTACCTGGGAGCTCAGTGGACTCCTGTTTGAGGGCGCATCTCCACTGTGGAATTAATGCTGTTTAGCAACACTTTAACTGCCATAGCTCAATACTGTGGGATCCTGGGAGTGGTAGTTTGGTAATGTGCCAGCACTCGTTGGCAGAAAAGGCTATAGATCCTGTAAAACTCCAGCTCCCAGGATTCCACAGTCTTGAGCCATGGCCGTTCAGGCATTAATTCTACAATGGAGATGCAGCCCGACTGGCTAGTCCAGGATTGCAGCATTTCGAGATACCAGTGAGCAAATCAACACATTATGAATGCAGTGGACACTATTTGATGGAATTGAAATCATGAAATGTATCCTGGAGGTACACTTTCACAAGAAGCTGGGGTGTTCTTGGTTTGCCTGGGGTTCCATTGAATACTTGGTAGCAAGCCTGAGTTTGCTGCTGTGTTATACATGAAACCTTAGAAAAGGAAACTTTGAGCTCCGTCAGTTCAAAAGTCTCCAAAGGTATCTCTTGATCTTACTGCCATGCAACTAGTTAGAAAAGAGGACTGTGCAAGAGTCACAGCACTCGACTCCACACCCAGAACTCCATTCCCACTGCTATCAACTGGATAGATCTGTTCCAAATAATCCCAAAAAGTATGGAATCCTCCAACAGCAGTTTGCAGCTTATCAGTGTGACCATTAGAGGACTAGACAGTCCTTTCTATCTATCTTAACTGCGTGGACTGATGTTACTCTAGTTTTTTCTCTTCTGTAGATAGTCATGGGTCGTTGTTCAAGAGATCTCCTGCATTGGGATCTCTTCTGCCCGCTCTGTTGAATTAAGGCTCTAGCTACTGGGTGCAACTTCAAGGCAGATCTGATCCCTGAGCTGTTGGCTCCCTTTGCTCCCTCTCTCATTCTTCCTGGCATCATTTCCCCTGGCAGTTGCACCAGAGCCAGCTGGAACTGCAGGAGGTGAGGACGTCTTATCGGCAGCTGCAGCTCAAGGTGGAAGAGCTCAGCGAGGAACGGAGCCTCCAGCACTTCAACTCCACCAGCACCTCCTTGTTGTCGGAGATCGAGCAGAGCATGGAAGCTGAGGAGCTCGAGCAAGAAAGAGAACAGGTAGCAGCATCGTTTCCACTCTGGGGCACACCTGAAAGTAACACGGAGGAACCAAAGGCCTTGCAGCGGACAGATGTCCACTTCTGGTGCTGTTTGCGGCTCTTGTGGGGGAAGGGGGATAAGGAATGCTGCCTTCTTTTAATGCAAAATTGCTGCTCCTTGTGGCTTGTTGTTGAGCGCAATTGAGCATCAGGTGACCCTTTCGCAGGGTTTTCTTGGTAAGATTTGTTCAGAAGGCCTTTGCCTTCCTCTGAAGCTGGGAGGGTATGACTGGCCCACAGCCGGGTTACATGTGTAATGTCAAGTCCAGTTTTTCCTTGAGTGTGCTGCTGTGCTTTACATCTTTCCTTTTGCAATATATCCACAGTCTTTTCCCTTTGTTTTGTTCCAGTTGAGACTCCAACTCTGGGAGGCCTATTGCCAAGTCCGGTACTTATGCACCCACCTCAGAGGGAACGACAGTGCAGATTCAGCAGTCTCCACAGACTCTTCCATGGACGAATCTTCCGAAACCTCATCGGCCAAAGATGTGCCAGCTGGTAGCCTACGTGCAGCGCTTAGTGAGCTTAAGAGGCTGATACAAAGTGTCATAGATGGCACAGACTCCCCGGTAAGTTGCGTTCAGTAGGATGCTTGAAGGATATTCACTTTAATATATTCAGTACAGCAAACCTCTGGTCAAATTCTTCCTTTGTCTTAGTGTGATGCAGTTGGATCCTCTTTCCCTTACAAGCAAAAACTCTTTGCACAGGTACCTTTTAACTCACTGCAAAAAGCTCCCAGAACAAGGATCTTTCAACTCACAGCACAAGGCTCTCAACACAAGGGTCTAACTTGAGGTTCTAAAAGAACATCATTGTGTGATTTTGATTTTTTTGAGTTGGATGATGACCCATGTGAATAAATAATTAAATGGGTAGAGTCTGTCTTCTCAGGATTTAACTTGCCTGTGTGCTTGCCTTCCTTTTAAGTGCCTTTTAGTCATGGCGAGCTCCTCCTTTCTCATCAGACTTTTCTAGGCAACTTTGGGCTTATCTTCCCACAACCAAAATAGAACTAAAACAGAGGAGAACTGGGGGAATTTGGCTCTCCAGTTGTTGGACTGCAACTCCTCTTGCCCTTGACAAGTGGACATCTTGACTGCTAGGAGTTGTCTTAGGCAAGGAATCCCCAGAGGTGGCTTTGCCAGTCTGCTCCTCTAAAATAGAGCCAACAGTACCTGGGACTTAGTGGCAGTCTCCCATTCCATGACTGGCCAGGGCTGAACCTGCTTAGCTTCCAGGGTCTGGTGCCTGTAGCATATTTTGGCCCTCACTAAAGAAGTAATGCAATGTTAGGAATATGCATTTCTACATAGTCCCTGCTATACAGTAATGTATATCCCTAACACTGCTCAGGCCCTTTGCTGTACTTTGTTTTGCTGAAGTAACACAGGAATCTCCCGGCCTCACAAGGTGGTTTTATTTCTTTACGGCTGGGCAGAGTCCGCGGAGAAGTGACGACGATGCCTTGGAAGAACAGATCAAGCAGACAAGTGAAGATTCAAGGGCCCTGAGGGAGCTGATGGAAGGCGAAAGGGGGAAACTGAGGCAGAGCTTGGAAGAGCTGCAGCAACTCCACAGCCAGGTCAGTAACCGGGCCTGCATAGAGGGTGGGGTCTGGGTTTGGAGCAAGCGAAGGGTAGAGTAGGGCAAGATCCTTTCACTACCTGCTCCTTTAAGTACACCTAACCATTTGCCTGCCTCTGAGCCCCACCACAACCCAAGTCCAAAAGGGAGAGAACAAGATGATCAGAAGCTAGCACTCCTGCTCCTTCACATTCTTTTAGATCCAGGAGTATAGCAACAGGCAGGTCAAAGAATAATAATAAATAATAATACTATCCACTCTAACAACTACCATGTCATGCTACACAGAGAAGCCATTGACATCCACAAGCTTGTGGACAATTTCAACAGAAAGGAAGAAACCATGAAAATGAACAAAATCTGGCTACCAGTATTTAAAAAAACTCTAAAATCATAACAGTAAATCAAGAACACTCAAAAACAGTGGAACTCCAGATAAGAAAGAATCAGGGACAGCTAATCACCTTTCAACAAAGAATTCCCTCAGGTAGTAAGAAGCCACACCTTGAAACTGCTAGGCCATTCAATGCTAATCAAAGTGGCCAGTTGAAACATTCACACCTGCCTCCTACAGACAAAGAGTTTTTTTTCCCACCATGTATATATAAACCCCATTTTCCTAATTTCCAACAGACCTCGCAACTTCTGAGGATGCCTGCCATGCCATGCAGGCAAAACATCAGGAGAGAATGCTTCTGGAACATGGCCATACAGCCCGAAAAACTTACAATAACCCAATAATACCATCCTCCCTGTGAAATGTTCTTTTGATCCATACATTTCCAGCATTACAGTCACTCACGATTTTATTTGAGCTTTTAGAAATAGAGTTTAGGCACTCAAAGCAAAAGCTGCAAGTGAAGGAGAACTCGGCAGTGAATGGTGTTCTGTGTCTCGCTCCTTGCCGTGCTAGGAAAACATTTTTAGCACTTCTGTTTATGAAAGCACACAACTTTCAACCCTATCCAGTTAAAGGCGAAGGACCTGTTTAAATATGCTAGGGCTTCCTTTGCCGTTTCCAACACCAAGTGCCACTGAAAACTCCTCTCGTTTTGAGGCTTGGTGTCTGCTCCACTCCGCCTCCTGTAATATCTTGTCACAAAGAGGCACCTTTGAACATTTGCAGGCATTTTAAACTGCACCAAGGCTCTGAATATTATTCTCCTCAGTGAGTTCGATTTCCAGTTGAATTGATCTGGATCTGTCCTTTTCTTTCTTTCTTCTCCGACTCAATCAACCATTTAGATTTTACTGTATCTTTAATGGGATCGGATGGTTGCTTTTTCAGCCTCTTAAAGTCACACACCAATCTGAATCCAATGCCCACATTTCAGAGATTCCATCAATATTCGTCCAATTGTGTTTTTCTTTTCCTTTCTATTGTTTCTAAATTCCCTGCCTCCCCCTTTTTATTGCTTTTTTGCCACAAGCCACAGTTGCGTATCTGTTGTTCAGACACAGTCTTTACAATGATAAAACACCCAGTTAACTCATCCAAATATTTCCTTATGGCTCACAATGGTTTCAATTAGATCTCTGTGTGAAAGAGAGAGAGCGTAATAAACCATTTGTAACAGACTCAGATTTGCCAGTTCCAGAGATGGAGCCAAAGAAACCTGAACTTGCCCTTGCAGGAGGAGACAAACACCGAAGTGACCTATTCAAGTCTGCCTGTATATTTTTAAGATTGATCACTTCAAAGATTGAGATTTAATAATTTTATATGTGTTGTTGACTCCCCTAAGCAGGATCAATTTCCATTGATAATGTGGATCAAGAGCTATTTGAGAGGTCTAGGGCTCTAGAGGAGCCCCCAGTGGCACAGTGGGTTAAACTGCTGAGCTGTTGAACTTGCTGACCGAAAGGTTGCAGGTTCAAATCCAGGTAACGGGGTGAGCTTCCACTGTTAGCCCCAGCTTCTGCCAACCTAGCAGTTTGAAAACATGCAAATGTGAGTAGATCAATAGGTACCACTCTGGTGGGAAGGTAACAGCGCTCCATGCAGTCGTGCTGGCCACATAACCTTGGGGGTGTCTACGGACAACGCCAGCTCTTTGGCTTAGAACTGGAGATGAGCACCACCTCCCAGAGTTGGACACGACTGGACTTAATGTCAGGGGAAAACCTGATGTTTTGTCTGCATCTATGACAGGCATCCTCAGAGGTTGTGAGGTCTGTTGGAAACTAGGAAAATAGAGTTGCCATAGATGCAGGCGAAACGTCAGGAGAGAATGCTTCTGGAACATGGCCATACAGCCCAGAAAACACACAACAACCCATTTAAGTCTGAGACACCATCCTTGCCCCTTCCTTGTCCATCAGGGCCAGTTTTCCTCAATGGGCTGCCTTCCAGATGTGTTCGACTACAGTTCCTATGACTCTGGGAGTTGTGGCCTAACACATCTGGAGGGGCCCAATTAAAGAATCCATCGTGGGGCCTTCTCTCTCACTGAGGGCAAGATGTGACTGTCATTGGAAATTGGTTTTAAGGGCTTTAACTGTTGATTTTTAATACTGTTAATATGTAATTCTATTTCAATGCTTGCATACTTTTAGGTTTTCAATAGTATTGCATTGGTTTTACTATAAGCTGCTTTGAGTCTCTTTTTTAGAGGGAAAAATGTTATACTAATAATATAAACATCTTTGTTTTATTCTGCAACATTTTGATAGAGCAGGGTTTCTCAACCTCGGGGTTGGGACTCCTGGGGGGGTCGCAAGGGGATGTCAGAGGGGTCACCAAAGACCATCAGAAAACACAGTATTTTCTGTTGGTTATGGGGGTTCTGTGTGGGAAGTTTGGCCCAATTCTGTCGTTGGTGAGGTTCAGAATGCGCTTTGATTGTAGGTGAATTATAAATCCCAGCAACTTCAACTCCTAAATGTCAAGGTCTATTTTACCCAAACTCCACCAGTGTTCACATTTGGGCATGTTGAGTATTCATGTAGAGTTTGGTCCAGATCCATCATTGTTTGAGTCCACAGTGCTCTCTGCATATAGGTGAACTACAACTCCAAAACTCAAGTTCAATGACCACCAAACCCTTGCAGTATTTTTTGTTGGTCATGGGCATTCTGTGTGCCAAGTTTGGTTCATTTCCACCGTTGGTGGAGTTCAGAATGCTCTTTGATTGTAGGTGAACTACAAATCCCAGCAACTACAACTTCCAAATGACAAAATCAATCCCCTCTAAACCCACCAGTATTCAAATTTATTTATTTATTTATTTTATTTCAATTACTTATACCCCACCCTTCTCACCCCCGAGGGGGGACTCAGGGCGGCTTACAGACAACGGCACAATTCGATGCCTGAATCAATAACAACAATAGCTAAAAACGATTTAAACAGTTAACAAGTTAAAAAACATTAGTACATAATAAACAGCAAAACAATCTCATGCTCAGTGTTCAGAGTTCCGTGTATATCCATTTCATTCCATTCGGCCATGTTTGTCGTCAGATCTTCCCTTAGCTGCCAGAATGTCCAAAAGCTTGGTTCCATATCCAGGTCTTCAGTTTTTTCCTCAACGCCAAAAGGGAGGTCGCTGATCTAATCTCCCCGGGGAGTGAGTTCCATAGGCGAGGGGCCACCACCGAGAAGGCCCTGCTCCTCGTCCCCGCCAACCTCACTTGTGATAGTGGCGGAGTCGAGAGCAGGGCCTCCCCAGACGATCTTAAATTTCGAGGTGGGATGTAGAGGGAGATCCGTTCGGACAAATACACTGGGCCGGAACCGTATAGGGTTTTGTAGGTTAAAACCAGCACTTTTAATTGTGCTCGGAATTGGATCAGCAGCCAGTGGAGCTGATGTAACAGGGGGGTCGTATGCTCCCTGTACGTCGCTCCGGTGAGCAATCTGGCTGCTTCTCGCTGGACTAGTTGAAGTTTCCGAGCAGTCTTCAAAGGCAACCCCACGTAGAGTGCGTTGCAGTAATCCAACCGGGATGTAACAAGAGCGTGGACCACCGTGGCCAGATCTGACTTCCCAGGGTACGGGCGCAGCTGGCGCACAAGTTTTAATTGTGCGAAAGCTCTCCCAGCCACCGCCGAGACCTGAGGTTCCAGGCTCAGCGATGAGTCCAGGATCACTCCCAAGCTGCGAACCTGCGTCTTCAGGGGGAGTGTAACCCCGTCTAACACAGGCTGTAACCCTATACCCTGTTCGGCCTTACGACTGACCAGTAGGACCTCTGTCTTGTCTGGATTTGAGTGTATTGGGTATTTGTGCCAAATTTTGGTCCAGTGAATGAAAATACATCCTGCATATCAGATATTTACATTACGATTCATAACAATAGCAAAATTACTGTTACGAAGTAGCAACGAAAATAATTTTATGGTTGGGGGTCACCACAACATGAGGAACTGTGGGTTGCAGCATTAGGAAACTTGAAAACCACTGTGATAGAGGAAACCAGGCAAGGGGATGTTTGTGTGTCTGTTCCTGAATCCTGAAAAAGAGATCTCATTTTTTTGCTTGGAGGAGCTCATCTCTCATAGAATCATAGAGTCCTAGAGTTGGAAGAAACCTCGTGGGCCATCCAGTCCAACCCCATTCTTCTCAGAAGCAGGAAAATCGCATTCAGTGCACTCCCTAACAGATGGCCATCCAGCCTCTGCTTAAAAGCCTCCAAAGAAGGAGTTCCACCGCTGAACAGCTCTCTCTCTCAGTTAGGAAATTTCGTTATTATTTATTTACAACATTTCTACTCCGCCTTTCTTGATGGGACTCAAGACGGCTTCACATACAGGCAACCATTTGATGCCTTAAAACACAGTGTACACTTAAATATTAAAATAGAATTAAAAAGTACATTAAACACAATTAAAACATTTAAAAACAATACATTCAGAGTTAAATACGTAATCCACGAGTGTAATCCAGACCGTTCCAATGGTCATTCCACATTGTTCCAAGTCTATCTATTGCACAAGTTCTTTAAAGGTTTGGTCACAAAGCCATGTTTTCACTGTCTTGCAGAAGGTAAGGAGGGAGGGAGTTGATCTAATATCCATGGGGAGGGAGTTCCACAGCCAAGGGGCCACCACTGGGAAGGCCCGGTCTCTCGCCTTTGCCAATCGCGCCTGTGAAAGAGGCGGGACCGAGAGCAGGGCCTTCCCTGATGATCTTAAACTCAGCAGTGGTTCATAGAAGTTCTTCCTCATGTTCAGGTTGAATTTCCTTTCCTGCAATTTGAAGCCATTGTTACGTGCCCTAGTATCCAGGGCAGCAGAAAACAAGCTTGCTCCCTCCTCCCTGTGACTTCCCCTTGATCCATAGCCCTCATCGTGTCTCCTCTCAGCCTTCTCTTCTGCAGGCTAAACATGCCCAGCTCTTTAAGTCGCTCCTCATAGGTCTTGTTCTCCAGACCCTTGATCCTTTTAGTCGCCCTCGTCTGGACGCATTCCAGCTTAGCATCAACATCTCTCTTAAGTTGCGGTGTCCAGAATTGGACACAGTGTGATTCCAGGTGTGGTCTCACCAAGGCTGAATAGAGGAGTAGCATGACTTCCCCAGATCTAGACACTAGGCTCCTATTGATGCAGGCCAAAATCCCATTGGCTTTTTAAGCTTCTGCATGACATTGTTGGCTCATGTTTAACTTGTTGTCCACGAGGACTCCAAGATCTTTTCCACATGTACTGCTATCTCTCTGTCTCTGGGAGGAAGATATTTTTGTTCAGTTCCCCTATTTTCAACACATTGCAGCCAGCCTTAGCATTAGCAGAGTGAGCAGTTGCCTCCAGCAGCAGATTCTGGCAGACGGCAGCAGCAGATTGATACAGATTGGTGTGTACTCCCTAAGTCTGCCTCCTGCCCTCAGGTTTAGAACAGAATTATCACCCAAGAAATGCACCCCATGTCTCCCTATCCTCCCCAATCTGCTGCTCTTTTCCCCCTCCCTGTTATCTCCTCTTTGCTGATCTATTTACGTAGTTGATTAGTATTGCAAGTCCTTGAGGAGCAGGGACCTCCATGTATGCAAATTAAATTCCTGTTAATTTAAGCTGCTTGCAAGACTCGCTGAGCCTTACAGTATGAGATAAATCCTAAATAAATGAACAAGCCTTGCTGCAAAAAAGAAAAGAAAAGAAAAGAAAAAAGCAGTGAAAAAAATGTCATCTTCAGCAGTCCGCGGTGGCCCCTTGTCAATTTTCCTAGCAGTTACTAAATGGAGATACATGTTGTGAAAGAGATCATTTGGCTTTCCAGTGGTTCCAGGTCCCTTTCTTGGTCACCCACTGAGTTTAGGAAAGTAACCACTTTCCTGATTGCCATTTTAAGAAGACATTTTAAGGTGACATTTCACCTGCATCTATGGCAGGCATCCTCAGAAGTTGTGAGGTCTGTGGAAACTCGGAAAATTTGGTTTATATATCTGTGGAATACTGTCCAGGGTGGGAAAATGAACTCTTGTCTGTTGGAGGTAGATGTGAATGCTTCAGTTGGCCACCTTGATTAGCATTTAATGATCTAGCGGTTTTCAAGGTGTGGCTTCTGACTGCCTGGGGGAATCCTTTGTTGAAAGGTGATTAGCTGTCTCTGATTGTTTCTTGTCTGGAGTTCCCCTGCATTTGAATGTTGTTCTTTATTTACTGTTTTGATTTTAGAGGTTTTTTTTTAATACTGGTAGCCAGATTTTGTTCATTCTCATGGTTTCCTCCTTTCTGTTGAAATTGTCCACATGTTTGTGGATTGCAATGGCGTCTCTGTGCAGCCTGACATGGTAGTTGTTAGAATGGTCCAGCATTTCGGTGTTCTCAAATTAATATGCTGTGTCCAGGTTGGTTCATCAGATGCTCTGCTATGGCTGACTTCTCTGGTTGAAGTAGTCTGCAGTGCCTTTCATGTTCCTTGATTCATGTTTGGGCAATGCTGCCTTTGGTGGTTCCTATGTAGACTTCTTGTCCACAGCTGCATGGTATACGGTAGACTCCTGCAGAGGTGAGAGGATCCCTCTTGCCCTTTGCTGAACGTAGCATTTGTTGGATTTTCTTAGTGGGTCTGTAGATTATTTGTAGGTTGTGTTTCCTCATCAGCTTCCCTATGTGGTCAGTGGTTTCTTTGATGTATGGCAAGAACACTTTTCCTCTGGATGGATCTTTGTTTTTACTATCTTGGCTTGTTGTCGGTCTTGCAGCTCTTCTGATGTCTGTGGTTGAGTAGCAATTGGCCTATAAACCAAAATATGTTCTCTCCTGATGCCAACCTTCCAACCCACCTGAATCCATAGATTCGTTATCTGGGTTCATTGCTTTGTGTTATCCTCCAAGGAATCAGTCCAGTTCCTCTCTTTGGGTCTGTGTTATCAAACTCTGATCAACTTTACCCATTACTTTCTCCCCAGGTGACACTGCTGAGTGTTGAAATGACTTCGCTGAAGGAGGAACGAGATCGGCTACGAGGATCAGGGGAGGAGAAGGAGATGAACGAACAGCTCTTGAAGGCCATCAGGGATCGGGATGAAGCGATTGCCAAGTAAGCTGGATCACTTGTAAGCTGGGACATAATTGCACTAGGAACCGCTAGGGCAGCATCCTGTGGAATCCAGGAATCTGTAGTTTGGTGGGGTGCAACAGCTCTCCGACCTGAAATGTGGGAGACTCCATTAAACCTCAAATTCCACAATTCCGTAGGATGTTGCCATGGCATGTAAAGTGATATATAGTTCTTTAATTGTGTAGCATGCAAGAACCCCAGAAAACAATCCACTGAGTATTTTAGTCATTTGAACTTCATTTCATAGAATCATAGAATCATAGAATCAAAGAGTTGGAAGAGACCTCATGGGCCATCCAGTCCAACCCCCTGCCAAGAAGCAGGAATATTGCATTCAAATCACCCCTGACAGATGGCCATCCAGCCTCTGTTTAAAATCTTCCAAAGAAGGAGCCTCCACCACACTCCGGGGCAGAGAGTTCCACTGCTGAACGGCTCTCACAGTCAGGAAGTTCTTCCTCATGTTCAGATGGAATCTCCTCTCTTGTAGTTTGAAGCCATTGTTTTGCGTCCTAGTCTCCAAGAAGCAGAAAACAAGCTTGCTCCCTCCTCCCTGTGGCTTCCTCTCACATATTTATACATGGCTATCATATCTCCTCTCAGCCTTCTCTTCTTCAGGCTAAACATGCCCAGCTCCTAAGCCGCTCCTCATAGGGCTTGTTCTCCAGACCCTTGATCATTTTAGTCGCCCTCCTCTGGACACATTCCAGCTTGTCATCTCTCTTGAATTGTGGTGCCCAGAATTGGACACAATATTCCAGGTGTGGTCTAACCAAAGCAGAATAGAGGGGTAGCATTACTTCCCTAGATCTAGACACTAGACTCCTATTGATGCAGGCCAAAATCCCATTGGCTTTTTTTGCCGCCACATCACATTGTTGGCTCATGTTTAACTTGTTGTCCACGAGGACTCCAAGATCTTTTTCACACGTACTGCTCTCGAGCCAGGCGTCACCCATTCTGTATTTTTGCATTTCATTTGCAGCAATGGAAATAAGCAAGGCACAAAGGGGGAAATGGAGGAGATGAGAATGGGAACAGTTTAAAAGCAGCTGGGTATCTGTTTTCCATCCCTGGTCATTGCCAATTTTGTTGCTCTCATAGGTCACGCCACTGACCTGGCAACAGGTTTGCATCTTATGGACACATCGTCTACACATTTCTCCTCCTTTGTCCCTAAGGAAATGTATTAGAGATTTCTTTTTCTTTTTAACATGGAAGCTAAAACGCAAGTTCAGGGATGCAGGGAGACTTCCATGCCTCCCTCCTTCCCAGCTACTCATCTGCAAGTGGTCTATCTCCTTCCCTGCTCTTTCAGGATCCTTTGTTTCCTGGTGGCTTTAATAAATTTATGAATAACCAGTGACTGGAACTGAATGCCAGACAAGGGCTGGCGAGCAGGTTTCAATCCCCACTTGGTTGTGAAGCTCACAGGGTGACCTTGGATCAATCTATCCAATGACATCCCAAACTAATATTTTTTTCCTCTAAAGCCTGACCTTGCCTCTGTGCCAATTACACTGAATGCTTGTACAAAACGGGGAAGCAGTCAAATTTACACCGGTGAAAATGTTACCACAGCTGGATGTGTGCTCTTGGACCGTCTCCCGAAAGCGTTTCCTTTGGGGCGCCGCAAATGCCATAGCCGGCCTTGCATTGCCATCTGTCGGCAGAAAGGGGGAAGCCCAGCGGCTGCAATGTTTTTGAGGCACAAAGCAGTGCTGGGTATTTTTGTCTGTGTGTGGGTTCCTAGCTCTCCTGTTTCCATGGAAACCGGCTACCTTTCTGGGGCTATATGAATCCCAAATGTTTGGTATTCATTCAGCAGTCTGGGTTGGTTTTTTTTAAATGCAGGAATATTTAGAGGACCTTGGTCTGGCTGCGTTGCTGTGGGGAGGCAGCTTGATCCAGTTTAGAAAGGGGCAAGTCCAAATCATTTCAATGGGCCTGCTCTGATTGAGACCAGAATTGGCCTTTTACACCATCCAGGAGTTTCCATCATCCCCAACTGAATTGTAGGAGAAGTAGCCCCATGATACCTGAAGATCACCATATGTTTCCTCAGTTTCAATGACCTCTACCTCTCATACTAGAGACAGCCAATATGGTGAGTGGTCTGTGTGACAAACAAGGATAAGGGAGACCCGGGTTCGAATCCCTGCTCAGACACAGAAACCCACAAACTCCAACGTTGCTCTTCCTTCCCTGGATGGGATGCTTTTACATTCAAAGCATGTAGTGGCACCTCAAATAGGAAAAGGTTTTTCTTGGGCTTCCGCTGCAATGGGTTGTTCACCATTGTTTGTGTTCAAGTCCCTCGACATTTTGGAACTGAAACGTCAGAGCAGGTATCTTATTTAGAAAGGTTGTCTCTTCAATCAATCATTGTAAGGCTGATTACGAGTCCAGCCACAGAGGTAAAGGAGGCATTCAGAGACCAAAATGGCTTTCTGCAAGACCCTCTTTTGCTTCCTTTACTTTCCAGGAAGAATGCAGTCGAAATGGAATTGGCCAAATGCAAGATTGATATGATGTCCCTCAATAGCCAGCTCTTGGACGCTATCCAGCAGAAGCTTAACCTTTCGCAGCAGCTAGAGGCGTGGCAGGTAAGTGAGAGCGGAAGAAAGGGCAGGCGGGACCCTCTTCTGTCGACATGTGACCTGGAAATGCCTCCTTCGCTGTGTTTAAGCACCTAACAGAGCATGGCAGGTCTGAGAAGGCTCCTTGGGGGGAACATTTTGGGCATTTGCTTTGGTCTTTCAGGCATTTTTGGACATTCAGGAACTCCAGCCAGGATGGGCAATTTGGCAAGGATTCTGGGCGATGAGGTCCAGTCTTCAAAGGTAGCCAAAGGCTGCAAACTTTTCACTACAATCAAAACTTTTTTCAAAGCAAATTTAGGCAACGTGACAACAGCTAAGTCTTTCTTGCTTTTATAAAAAGATGCTGATAGCAATGGTTTTTGATGCAACTTAGTAGGAACATTACCTTGGAGTGCAGGATTGTCAGAATGAGGCCCTACCTATCAACATTCACTCAAATACAGCACTATGGAAGGGGCTCTGTGTTGTGAAGTAGACAATAACAGGTGGCCTTAAACTTAAGTCTGAACCTGTACACGTTGTGGGACAACGGTACATTCGCTGAGTGACAAAACACAGATGTGTGGTGGAACCAGGCCCCGTTTTTCTTCCTCCTCTGTGCCTCCCTGATTGTCCGCAGAAACCTCACTCCTGTTGACCTTTCCTCCTATTCTCAACTTCTCCATGTTCTCCTTTCTTTCTCTCTCTCCTCTCTCTTCTTTCCGATGCTTCCAGTTTGCTTCCTCAGGGCTTTTTACTATATGGCTCCTTTGGTTTCTGATCTAGTGGCCTTTCTCAGTTCCTGTAACAACAGCTTTAGTCGTACACCCCTCCTGCCTTTAAGGTGAGCGCCCGACCCTCTTTTGCATTTTCCCTGTCTCACTCTGTCCCATTCCATGCCATCCCAAGTCAGCATCACATCATCTTCTGGGGAAAGGAATGAACACATCCCAGCGATGCCTCGTATATATTTGTCTCTTTGGCCTGTTTATACACTCCTCTCTGGTCATCTGCCTCACTCACCTCACTTCTTCTTTTCAACTTTCAGACTTTGCTTGCCTGCCTGCCTGTTGGGTCTCCTGTCCTTATTTTTTGACACATGATTTCATCTCCCATGCATGCACTTGTAGTATTTTAGAGTTTGCGAACAGAATCACCAAACCCCCATAAGCTACAGGGTGGGACACTTCCGTTGCATGCAGAAGGTCCTGGGTTCATTCGCTGGGATGGCAGAGACCTTGTGTGGGGCTTGGAATCTGTGGTCTTCTTGTATATAGGTGTGGGGTGGCTCTTTTAGAAATGCAGAACAGGTGTTTAGACCTCAGCCAAAGTGGCATTGCCAAGCCTTTGGGAGCTGACCAGGCATTCAATCCAAGCAAATTCTTTGCAGAAGCTGGCTCTACCATTTGGCAGAGTCCATTGGGTCAGTCTTTCTCTGGCAGGCAATGTTGAGCGTCATGAAAGGAGAGCAAATTGTAATGTATTTGACCTGATTATAACTGTGTTGCTAATGCCTGTGATGTCTTGTGAGCTAAAATAATGGGCCTGTCTTTGCATCCAACAGTCCTTGACTAGGTTGGGCACAGAAGGCAACAGAGGGAGTTTCGTCTGCCTTTGTCCCCATAGTCCTTTGTGCCTGAGATCAGATTTTACAGTTCCACAAAAGACCTGATGCTGATCCCAAGCGATTTTGAATCAAAATGATGAATGTCAGCTCCCTTCCTTTTTGGCATACCTTTTCCCACAAACCAATCTTTCTAAGCCCACCTCCCAGAGTGAATCTGACCTTCTATGTTCTGCCTTTTGAGCTAGGCTGGCTTATTCGGTGTTCTGGAACCGAGCTTGAGTGAGATTCCTGACAGCCAATGACTTCTTGGAGGCAGGTGACAGCAAGTTGCTAGTCATATTTCAAATGTAAAGTGAGGCTCTGAGGTTGACAACGGTGCCAGTGTTGAGCTGGGAGGGTCTGTATGTGTGTGTGTCCCTTTGCATGCGATGGTTGTTCCTAGCAACCAGACCCTCGCTGCAATAATCCACTTGTGGGCTTGGAATGCTTGCTTCCTCACCATTGGCTTCACCAATTTCTGCAAATATGGTTTTCCAGTCAAACATACATGCTGAAGACTGTTTTGTCTTAAAACCTGCTTCTTATATTTAGGGATGGAGGAATCGTTTCGGCTGGGTTTCTTGGAATATTCACAAACGATTATTTCTTGTGTGTATTTTCAATGTATATTTCACCTTCCTGTTCCCCAACCTGGGGAGGTTTGTTACATGCAACTGAAGAATCTCAAGATAAAATCACATCCGTAACTGATGATGTTGGTGATAATTCAGAACAATAGCAGCAGATTAAAATGGTCCTGCGTCACTTTCTCCAAATGGATCCCATGCAGTCGACCCCTACAGCTGTCCAATAATCCCCTTTGTGATATCTTAAGGCAATGGTGCAGCACTTACTAGAATATAGAAACTTTTCCCAATACCCCGATGCCTTTTCCCAATGCCTTCTCCACCCCACCCTTAAAAAATCTGAGAAGTGCAGAAAGAGGAGTATAATTTCAGCCCAGTTCATATATTCACCCAGGAAGTGCAGATTCAGGAAGATTGATTCATGTGAAAACAGGAACCAAATGTATTTCGCCACTGTCCTTGCTGATGCTGACAAGAAGTCCTGAAGGCAAATGAGTCAATGCACACCAAGAGCTTTGGAGGAATTTTGGTAGACTCCTCTCTGTTTGCATGTTAGGGATGCGTAAAGCTTCAAATTTGAAATCATGCTTGCCAAATGCCCATTGTTGAGATGGACACAGTGGGCAGCATCCTATTATTATTACTAACCAACTTTTATCTTTTGATCAAGACCCAGAGTGGTTAGTTAGTAATGTATATGTGTTTAAGTGTGGCTTACGTACACATTTTGTGCTGGGGTGCATGGAGCTGTTCTCTTACACCAAACTGGGCAGATATCAGATCCTGGGAGGAGCTCTATCTCTGCTGTGCTCTAGAGTAACAACAGAAGGGCGGGAGGTAATTCAGACCTTGGAAATACAACTGTTTTGGGCTCCTGGGGGAAGGAAAAGGAGGGCATCAGGACTCATGTTGGGCTTTTGCTCCATCTCAGTCTTAATTGGCACGACTTCCCTCGTTCCTTGCTTTTTACAAGCTGTGCTTATTCATTTTGAAGCCACCTAGCACATTATATTTTGTTCCAAAGTTAGGAGAGGGTACATATCTCCTCGCCTCTCCCTTCAAATTACGGGAATGCAGATCACTTTTGCCTTCAGTGGGCAGCACTTGAAGTCAGACAAGGATGATGGGAGAAAATGGGAGGAGGAGAAAGAAAGGGATATTTTTTAGAAGGGACTGAGAAAGTCGAATGGCAGAAGATTAGTAGCAGAGTAGAGCAGTGGGGGGTTATCAAAATGGTCGAGGAAGGGCCCTCCACAATCTTTGGGGGGAACGAACAGAGCAGTGGAAACTTCCCCATAGCCATGTTAGTTTCTCTGTGTCATACTGCAGTCTGGCGGGCCTCTCTCCCTTTTGCTCTCCTTTTCCTGCCTGCTAACAGCCTCCCTTCTTCCTGCCCCAGGACGACATGCAGAGGGTCATTGACCAGCAGTTGATGGACAAACATCCCAAGGAATGGAGCCAGCCCACTTATTCCTTCTCCAGCGGTCACGGGGGCAAGCGGCGCGCCAGACCCTCTCCCATGCTGAGGCCTGAGCAGCAGGGGTCCGAGCCCATTGGGGCAGAAGGGAATCGCCTCTTTGCTTTTTTCAAGAAAAATTAACGGGGACGGAGCCACCACTCTTCAGTTACTTTCTCTGTTTTCTTTTCATTTTTTATTATTATTTGATTTAAAAATGTGAATTATTATTATTATTGTTATTATTTTTCTTCGAGATGAAGGAAGCTGGAAATGGAGGCAAGGTGGTGGTAGATGGTCCTCCGTTCTGATCGCGCGAGAAGCCACCCAGGAGGGCCAAGAGGAGCACACCCTTCAGAACTCTGCACTATTTGGCAACCCGCGTGGTCTGAACTCACTGTTTACATACGTCGAAGTCAAATTGCCGTTCTCCAGTGTGGAAAGCGGTTTGAAAGGACTTTTTTCTACCTTGAAAACGACGTGATAAAACAGAAAAACCTTCAGGGGTTCCCTTGTTAGGTCTGCTCTGTTTTCTGCTGTGGGGTGGGGGTGTCTGAAAATAGTTTTCTCCTGCTTAAAACACAACATGGAAGGAGTTGGTCATGAGGGAGCAGGTAATGGAGGAGGGGGAGACATTCTTGGACAGGACCTGACACAGGTGAAAAGCTTCATGGAGGGATGGGGAACGTGGCTCTCCTGGTGTCGTTGGACTGTGGTTCCCATCAGGCTTTACTATTGCCCATGGGCTGATGGAAGTAGCAGTTGGGTGACTTCTGGAAAGCCTCACACCCTTCATCCCTGTTGTAGTAGCTGCTTCATTTGTGCCTCAGAGAGCAGGAGCCACTGGTTTGTTTAAAGCTGAGGTGGAGAATCCTGTGACCCTCTTGATCTTGTTGGACTGCAACTCCCAGACCCCTTATTGAAGCTGTGAAAGTTTTAATGGCCAGGATGAGCAATGGAATATGTGCAATGGGGTTCATGAGGTGCCCCCCAAGTAGAACTAAAGTTCATGGGTGAGTCTTGGAAGGCCAGGCACCTTACTAGAGCCTCCGATACTGGATGATGTTGGCAGCAATGAAAGTCAGGAAAGCTGAACACCAACAGTTTGCAGCAACAGCAGGCATTTGGAAAGGTTGCTTTTTAAGGTACCACTCCCAGACGTCTTCCCAACCAACATGGGCAGTGGTTCATTGAAGCTAGGCGATTTCTAGTAACCATTGTGTGAAAAAAAATTGATATCTTCCAAGCTCTGAAAATGTACTTCCAAGGCAAGCACTGCACTCCATGAGCACAACTGTTTGAGCAAAATATTTCTGACTGTTTTTGTGAGGGACTGCTAAAAGTTTGTGTACAGTGCTGTGCAGCAATACAATTAGGATGGGACCGAGGAGCATGAAAGAACAAGGAGAGGCATCCTCCAGGCAGGATACCAGGACTGACATTTTGTAGGGGAAGTGGAGAGGGCTGCTGTGGTTCTCCTTGTTGAGGGGCAAAGCTCCCCTCTCCTTCCACATAGAAGGCCATGCCACATCCCATCCTCAGCCTGTAGTGGCAGTTACTTCTGATTGGAGATCAATGCTAGGAATGTGGGCCATTTAAGTCAGGGGAGCCTCGACCCTATGACTTAGTCCCAATTGGGATAGATTGATTGGATCCATTGAATGAACCAGGTGGTTTACACAAGTTGGGGCTTAGGATAACATGGCCTTGGTTAGTGTGGCAGACCTCCAGGCCATGGTTGACCCTCTCCGTGTGATTGAACCCTTTGCCCCCCTCCTTAGGGCCTGGATCTGGGGTGGGGTGTGTCCTGCACTTTGAGTTCCTTTAGAGTCAAGCATCCCGTGCCTTGCCTCCAGATGTGGGGCAATTCCACATTGGGGAAAGTTGCCCCTTCTTGAAAGAACTGTTCCAGGGCTTCCTCAAAGCAAGGGCTTTATTTGGCCCTTATGCTCAGCTGGCACTGCAAGCGACTTTCTCTTCTGCTAAGGCAGGAATGGGGAACACACGAGCTTCCAGAGGGGGATTTGTAGCTCCCACCTGCGCTTCCCATAGGCTCAGCTGGCCAGCACTGATGAACTTGGAAGGCCATTAAGATGCCCACCTGTCAAGCCATCCCACTGTCTGCACCCTGTGCAGGCAGGAAATATAATGTGGTCTGTATCCCTTGCTAGAGGTGAAGACACCAGTTCCATGGTGAACGTTGTGAATTTGGGTAAGAGAGTAACCTTGCACTGAAGACAGCTGTGTAGAATTTGAATTGAGGTCTTTGCAAGCTTAAGGTGAATAATTTGAACTGACAATCCATTGGTACAGTCAAGAATCTTTCATTTAAATGGGGGGGGGGGTAATTAGGAGGGGAAATGCCATCAGAAAATACTGGCGGATAATTGGACTTGTAATCAATGCGTCTGGAGGTGGCTGGCTTGGAGACGATTGCTGTTTTGGATTGCCTTAAACTGATGTAAGAACTTGTGTACTTGACGGGATAAAACTGAGGGATGGAAAGAAGAAAATGAGGCCAAGGGGTAGCTTTTACACTAGCGTCTTGAAATCCTTGAATAAGCCCATTAGACAAGGAAGCATTTGGGAACTCATTTTGTCAGATGGCTACTCTTAGAAACCTTCAGCCAGCATTATGGGCCCCTTATTGGTGACAGCATTTTTTGGTTGCAGTCCCCCAAAAGCATATTTTTGAACCCTCCAATCCCTGCCACTGATCTCTGGTGGCTCCTCAGCATTCAATGAAAGGAGAATAAGTGCTTTTTTAAAAAGCGAATAAGTTAAACATCTCCCAAGGCTTATTGCAGTGGAGCATGGCTTGGTTTGGATGTTCAGACTTTGATAAGCCCTAGAGGGGTTTGGAGGAAGCAAATACCAACCTCTGTGATAACCACACCAGAGAGACTATGACAGCATATTAAGTGTGTCACTAGCAGGATGCTAGCCAGTGTGGCTGAGACAGCAGAATAGAGGCTTCAACCCTTAGACCTACTTATTTGGGTGTTTACACTTCCTGAGCTTCCTTCTTGAATCAACATGGTGCAAAATTTGATGGCAATATTGATAAATCCAGAGGGAGGAGGACCAATGCTGAAGCATGATGTGCTGAGGCCAGATGGCTATCTCAAGGATGCTGCCATCTCAGTTGCAACTGGATTACATGATTTTGGAGAGCCTTTTCTGAGACTCTTCACCCTCACGGAGTTACCCATATTCTGCAAGGTCAGCGATGGCCCACTGGTTTTTGGGGCAGGGGGATAGCAAAATGAAAGCAATAAAGAGATAACAAGGAGAAATGGTCCTCCCTGGGAGAATCTTGAATGCTTCGGGAGACACTTCCAGACATTAGCTTTCTCCCTGAGGTCCAGAAGCACTGTCCTCTGCTTGCCATATATCAACACAGTCCCAGGCTTGGGATTTTGGTGCCTCCTCACCCACACACCACACTGTGATATTATTGGACCAGAGCCAAGTGAGGGAAGGTGGCTTGGGTGCAAAACGTGACCCAGAACTGCTTTGGGACAAATCTGAGCCATAGCTTGAGTAAGTTCCAGCCCCTTCTCCAAGGCCCAAGTGGTTTGAGGAGAAGACACAAGACCCTGCCAAAAACTCCCATAAACATTGCATGAAGACTCTTCTTGGTGCATTCTTTTAAAAGTACACATCTATGTATGTTACCAACACTTATTGAGGCTGGATAGACTTCAGCCCTCAAAAAGAAAGCAATCGATGTATGCAAGCTAAGAGCCTGGGGAAGTTACTTCTGGGGGACAAGAAAGTGAGTGAGGCATGTAGGATTTTCATGTGCCCGTGACTCTGCTGTTGACCTGTTTTCCATCAGTACAGGTGGGCACATCTGGACCCAAAGTAACCTCATTCACATACATAAATGTGGCAGAACTGTTCTTAGTCTATGCCATTTAGAACAGCAGGTCAGGGCCTTCCTGGTTCAACATCTCTCCAGGAAATAAACACATCTAGGCTGTTCTAAAACTGATCTTCTTGAGGCAAGGCTAACTTAGACCTTTTAGGCTTCTCTTCTTACTTGTGTGGTTTTAACCCACCAGAGGTTCTAATTCTGAAACCTACAGGGAGGGAGCATTTTCTTGATGTACAGCATGAACGGATCAACACTTTGTTTGAACCAGGCCAGTCTTTCCCCACCTGATGCCTCCCAGATGTGTTAGATGACAACCCCATCATCCACAGTCTGGAATGAGAGGGATTGTATTCCAACTTGTCTGGAAGATACCAGGGTTGTCTGGGCCATAAATCAAAATAGAATGGAGAAATTGGGGAGAGCAGGTTGTTGACTGGCAATATAGGTTTATCACAAAGAACAACAGCTTTTCTGTGTGTGCATGTATGTATGAATGTATGTATGTATGTGTGGGAGGGAGGGAGGGATGGGACAGCTTTCACCTGCAAAGACCTTCAATCTGTTATAATGTGTGTTTCACCCACTTCAACTCCCTTTTCTCCTCAAAAAAAGGATGATGTGCCTGGTAGCTGCAGTCAAAGAGTTCACCAAGCGGAGGGGGAGGGGGTGCACACAGCAGGGATGGGCAGACAGAATGTATCTATATAGGTATATGTACATACCACACAGTGCAGTAATTTTTGTATGTAGCAGTACTGTAAATAAGTGTACCATTTTTATAATAAGATATTCTATAAAGGCATATTTTAGTAGAAAACGCTGCTCTACTGCTTCTTTTGTAAATAGTTCTCATCTGAATAAAATGGGTCCTTTCTACAGGTATTGTCTTTGTGAATTGCTCACTGGTGAACAACAGCAACTACCCACCTACTGTGTGTTCAGTGGGGACAACACTTTGATTGTGATGTACCTTATGGAGACCCCACTGTAGGGTTTTCTTGGGAAGATGTCGCTCTCTGAGGCTAAGAGAGCATAACATGCCCAAAGTCACCCAGTGAGTTTCCACAGATGAGCAAGGATTCCAACCTGTGTCTCAGCAAGTTCTAATCCAACATTCAGACCACACCAAGCTGATTTTGGTTTGTTCCAAATAGGTTTATCATTGTCCCTAAAGGTGAGACAGTGCAACTTGCCCAGGTTTCCCCCAGTGGGTTTCCATGGCTGATGGGAGATTCAAACCTTTGTCTCCTAGAGTTCTAGTCCCACATTCAGACCATTAAAACAGACAGTAGCCAATTTGACAATGCTTTCTATGTATTTTATTTTTGCCTCAGAGTCCGACTCTGCCAGCTCTCTATAGCAAAGACATGATCCTTGGCTCTCAAAGAGTATGACATTGAGCGTCAGCTCTAGCAAGTTATACCAAGCTGGTAAGCAGTGATAACTGGTGCCCAATGGACTTGGCAGAGTGGGAGAAGTTATGACAAGTGAAGCCAAGGGGTCAGCAGGTGAACTAACCACATTTTTTGTACCGCTTTTGCATAGGTGCTTTGCGTATCTTTTGTGGAGAGAAAAAATGGGATATAAATAAACATAATACTACCTACATTTGCAAAGTCCAAGTAAACCAATTGAAAGATGGCACTGAGGTTAGGCAGGCATGGCTGCTTCTACCCAAACAGTTAAACCATCCCTGTGGGTATGTCTTCAGTTATCACCCTGGCAACAGACTAGATGTCTGTCTTTTGAGGACCAATCTTGTGGAGTACACAGATACACACTTCCATAAGACTGGCTACCAGTAATCAAGTGGACACAGCAACTATGAGCACATCACTGCAGAACAACTGCTACCTGCATTGGCAAAGAGACCTTATGCACAGATAAAATTGCACATTATCAAGGTATTCCATTTCTAATTCTGACAAAAAAGACCCCTTAGCAGCTGCTGTAGCATGAGACTATAGCAAAGGATTCGTCTGACATCTGCCTTCAGTTTGTGTATGCACCAATTTTGGCACAGAACAGATTCTTGGGTCTGACGTACTTCAAGAGGTTTTTTTTTAAAAAAAATCGCTTTCTCAGTTTGTCCTTCAAAGTCCTCCGTGCCTGGACTGGCTCAGGCAGGGTCAGCCACAGCAGCAGACCAAACGCAGAATGATATTCCAGGGGAAGCCTACCTGGGTTGGGTGGACCCAGGCAGCAGCTGCCGCAGTGTTCTGAGTCTCACAGACATTGCAGAGAGTGCTACACAGTACATGTGACCAAACTGCCTCCTCCAGTTGCCCAGGGATTCAAATACATCTTCTTTATACTGTAGCAAAGTGATTGCATTTCAAAAATATAAAGTACAATATGAACTCACCATCCTTGCAAAGCCTGCTATACCCGAAGGACACCTCCCCAAAACAATAAAATTGACGAAATTGTAGAATGAGGCACTGAAAATATTGTCAGACCACTAATATTACTTCTCGTAGCAGCTGCCAGCTCTTTTGGATGGGGGAAATGGCAAGGCAGTTTCAGAGAGTGCTGCCCTGAGGCAACCAGGCAAAGACAGAGGCTTGGTTTCATAAAACTCAAGGGCATATAGAGCTCTGTGCAGAACTTTAAGTATGAGATCCTATGTGATGTCGGTGTGGGCCTTCAAATTGTTTCTAACTTACAGCAACCTCATCATAGCAAATTTATTCAGAGGAATGTTCCCTTCCTCTGAGGTGAAAAAAGGGTCACCCAGTGGGTTTTCCATGGAAGAAGGAGAATTTGAACCTTAGTCTCCACAGTCATAGGCCAGCATTTAAATCACTATACCATGTTGGCTCCTATATGATAGCATTAAAACTCACTACATCATTCAATCCCAACCCAGACTCACCATTTAGCTGCTGTAGCTCCCTGCCTCATGGACAATCTGTGGCTGATGAAGATCAAAGGAGGATCAGAGAAATATCTGGCTATGTCACCATATACAATTAGTTCAAATCTGCTGGGGTCCTCTTGACGTCTCAAAAAATAATACTGCAAAAGGGAGGAAGAGCATACCAACCTCTGCAATGACCAAAAACAAAAAAGACAGAAGCAGGAGTTCTGTTGGACTTAGGCCTGCATATATCATGAACAGGATGCTGGCCGAAAGCAGTGGCATGTCACTTGCACCCAATCTTGAGGGAAAGCAACAGCCAGAGCCATGGAGGAAGATTTGGCAGCTTGGCACCTTTATTTTTAGTTTTTAAAAATTATTTAAAAAGCATAATTAGAAAGTTTCAATATACAGAAATCATCCTAGCAAACCAGTTAGACATTCCACCGCTTGACATCAGCACCGCTAAAGACGCCATCCCACCCCGCCCCGCTCGCCCACACCACCCCCACCCCACCCCTTTTGCAAATACTCCACAGGCACCATCCACTGACACAGCCCACCAAGGAACCCCCGCAGCAGAGCCTCCATTGACAAGCGACGGTCCAGCAGCAGAAAGGAGCCAGGACGGGAGCAAGGGAGGTGCTGCAAATGGAGTCCTTGGGGGAAAAAACTCCCCACGCTTTGGAAAGCGGACACTGAATGGCTGAACTGGCAACGATCGTACCCCTGCTCCCTGCCCTAAGAGACTATGAGAGAACTCCCTCACCCGTGAGGCTCTAACATTGCTTCAAATCATCAATATCCATCTATCGTTTCTACAGACCTCTTCTGCCTACAGCTTCTCCCAAACGGATCGCTCTGTTCACCTTCCTATCCTTGAATGAAAAGCCACTTGACAAAAGATGCACACAGAGGTTGGCTGTGGAAGAGGAGCAGCTGTGTTGGAGATTTTGGAAAACACTATCCACTGAAATTCAACACATTCATGAGCCAGAAGCCTGTAAAGCTCCATGTGGTGCAGTAGCTCCTGATGCAGAACTACGCTCCAGCGGGCCATTCAACAACTCCCAGGCTTACCATAAAGACACTGTGGCTGTCTCAAAGCCATTTTGCACTTGGTAAAGAAGGAATTGGCGATGTCCTGGGAACCAGGTGCAGAATAATCACATCGCCTGCTGTGATCAGCTTAGATTTCCTAGAAGATTCAATCCATGCCACTAACAGGATGCCAGCCACTGTCTGAGAGGACAACCTGGCAGACAGAGCACCTGCCGTGTGATTGTATGAGAACAGCTTGCACAACTTAAGGTTTTGTTCTTAAAGGCAAGCAAAATAATAAATAAGGGGTTTCAGCTTACCCCTCCTTGTACGACTCCCAAATCCAAAGGGTCACTGACTCTGAAGAGTATCCTGTTAACACAAGCATGGTCATTTTTAAGATTGGGGGGGGGGGGGAATTGTTTTGGCCTCTCTATCTTCAAACACTAGGTGGGTCAATGGCTGAGGTGCGGCATTATTTGTCTACAAAACTCTTGGGTTATCCACAGAAATCTTCACTCACCACTGGACGAACCAGGGCAGAGTGGCACATCTAAAGGATTTCCAGTTGCTGCTGTCTAACTGAGACCCTCTCAAATTATCTGATATACAGTTGAGTGCCTTCATCTCTTAAGGAAAACAGAGATGGCAAAAACCACCATGTACTTTCCCCATTAGAACCCTAGTTCTAAATCCACGTTACACCTGGGTACAGAATGATCGTTGGAGGGCGGGTAGAAGAGAAAGAGTTTTTGACAGCTCTATACTTCTGCAGCTCTTGCTCTCAGAGTAATACCACCAAAGGAAAAGTCTTCTCCAGCTTGAGTATCAACATGTTTCAGAAGGTTTTGTTTCCATGACACTACATAGTGATTTTGTCACTTCCAGTCAGGTGGGAGAGGAGAGCGCAGCTACTGACAAAAGCCTCAACAATATGGGCGATTCCAGAATTTGGGGGGGGGGGGGGGGGGAGGCACACGACCTCAATGCAACTGAAAGCTTGGAAACATCTAAGACCCCGCTCCAAACTTCAAGGCTAAAACAAAGGCTGAAGACCAGTAGATGCCAGGAAGGAAACCCAATTTGAGGGCACTGGGGTATTTTATATCTTTGGAGGAAACAAGAAGTAAAAGATGAATTCTCAACAACTCATGATTGGCTGATGTTAAGAAGGCAGAAGCTGAAGTGACATGGGGGAGGCGCAGCTGGTTAAAGCAAATATACATTATGTACAAACTCTTAGGCTCAAAAGTCCCCTTGGTAGGCAAAGTCACATTTTGTCTCCAAGATGCTCTTGAAAAAGAGTCGGGAGGAGAGAGGGGCAGAACTCCCTCCATCCAAGACCTTCTTGGCACTATTGTGGTAAGGGTGCCTCCTGACCGAAAATGTGGGAGAGAACTCATTTAAATAACGGCACAGAGTGAGGGAAAAACCCCATCAGTCCTCCCAGGGCAGAGCTCAGTGGAAACGCTTGCACCTGGCTGGAAGGGCCGAGCTGTCCGCATGCCCAGTCTCTGCCGCAGGTGAAAGAGCATTAGCAGCACCGCTTCTTCCGTTTACTGTTCTTCGTTAGCTTCACCACGTCATTCTGTTGCTGCTGCTGCTGTTTTGCTAAGTTGTCTTTCTTGGCTCGCAGAACCAACTCTGTGATGCAGTTGAACATCTGCGAGATAAAACAACAGAGGGGCATCAGACCCGAGGCCAGCAAAGGTTCCTTGCGTCACACCAGAAAGGCCCAATCCCCAAATAGGGTTTGGTGTCACTAGCATGTGATCAGTTAAGATATTGAGCCCTGTGTGTGTATACCACGTTGCCTCCCATCACACTCCCTCCTCTTTCATGTGAACTTTGCCAACATTTTACCCTAATCTAGCATGTCATGGTTATAGTGCTGAGTGAAGACTCGATGAGACAAGGGTCTGAATCTCTACTTGGCCACTGAATTCTACTGGGTGGCCTTGGTCAAGTCACAATCTCTCAGAGGAAGGCAAAGGCAAACCTCTCTGGACTAATCTTGCTGCGAAAACCCTGGAATAAGGTTGCCATTAGTCAGAAATAACTGGAAGGCAAAACAACAACAAACCCTTGGTCATAAGGAAATCACCTTCAATAACCCTGACCCAGAGGTGGTTTGGAACTAGCCTTTATTATGGGGCAAGTTACACCCACAAAGGACTCCCTCACCCAGCCTCCTGAAGCCACACTGTTTCTTTTTGCTTGCAGGCAGAGAGGGTGGGGGCCCTTGCTGAGCCATGGAAGCCCCCTATGCTCAAGAACATGGACAAGACAGATGCAAGAGGCAGGAGCACACTGACCACCAGTGACCTGCCCTCCAAAGAAGATATGTCGCTCCTGCCTCCTTTCTCCCCTATGCTAATTACCTCTTCGACATTAATGTTCTCTTTAGCACTGGTCTCAAACAGTTGGATCCCCATCTGCCCAGCAAATTTATACGCGTCTTCTGTCTCCACCACTTTCCGTTCAGGATCATCATTCTTATTACCAACTACAAGAAATGGGAAAAATAAAATAAAATGGATACCACTGCACTCTTTGGCAGCCTAATCCACAAAATTTGTCATGCCTGGTATGAAATGCAGATGGGAAAATTGAATGTGGTTCACAACTCAGTTTTCACTACTTTTCTCCCATCAACTCGCATGGGATAAATGCAAGCAGGACAATGAACTGGCTATTGGTCAGACACACTGACATGACCCAAAAGACTTCCAAAGATCTGTATGTGTGGGAGAAGAAACAAAGAGTTCGTTTCTGAAAAAAATTAGGATTAAACACTGTTTACGTGAGGTTGACAAATATCAGAGCATTGATCCCTGCTTTGTAAGGTGCAAATGCAGAAAATTCAGCATTAAACAGAGAGTAGATGGTGGATTTTTTCCCTCTTAAGCATACTCTTGGGTCTTGCTGCTGTGAAAAGCTACTTAAGTCAAGCAACTTACCTAATATTCGGCAAACATCATCACAGTTCTGGTTTATTTCATGCAACCACCTCTTGACGTTCACAAAGGACTCGGCGCTTGTGACATCATAAACCACAATGACCCCATGTGTTCCTCTGTAGTACCTGAGGGTCAAAGGGAGAGACATCTATGCATATTTCAAGAATTCAGTTCCATGTCCATGCAGGCATTTTTATTTAAATCCATAGCCTGCTTTCCCACAAGATGTCTTCAAAACAGCTCAAATGGATTACAAGGCATTAGAGAAGAACTTGGTTTCAAAAGCAATCTGGCAAGGACAGAACAACTGAGAATTCAGCTTCTGTCTTGGGCATGTGGAAGAGAGTTCCAAGACTGGAGAAGGGTTGGAGCAGCCTGCACCTGCTTGGGAGGGGTGAACAAAAACAGCAGAAGGGCAAGAACTGGGACTTGGGAATGTGACAAAATCAGGTGGTGGAGAGAAACTGCCTGCTCTTCCTTCTGCGCATGAACACTGTGGGGGAAGGACATGATGCAGGAAATGGAAACGGATCTGTGGGATGCAGCACTGGCAGGTTCAAAATACCACATTACCATGGAGAAGACTTTGTGAGCCATGGGCAACTGCTGTCATTACTAGCTTGAGACAGTCAGACATGCAAGCGAGAAAGAGGCAAGATATTATCGAGGAAACGATGCCAGCAGGATAGCAAGCATTACTGGGCACCAACTATACTGAGGCAGGCAATCTCACTGGAAGACATAGTAGAAACCTAACAGTATGGAGCCAGCCAAGACCAAAGGATGGATTCAATGGATGGTTTTCCAGACAAACAGATGCTTGTTTGCTTTTATTTTTTCCCACCTAGAGTCTAAAGATTAGGGGCAGAACTTCTATTCCAGACACAGTACGTTCCAGGTTCAGTCCCAGCATTTTGAGAGCTGGGAAAAGGCACTATAGGCAACCCTATACCATGCCAAACCAAATGGAGCATGGGTGCAACTCACTATCAGGAAACTCCCCGTATTCCTGCTCTTCACTGTTTGTCTGTAGTTTGCAAGTTCTTTCAGGCACATTGTGTCTACACCTGCTTATGAAACTCAGTAAAGCACCAGAGCACAGCATAAACAGGAGTGGTTCACAGCCAAACAAATAAAAAATGGGGGAAAACCTTTACTTTGCAAGTTAACGTGCCAGTTGAACATTATTCTCCTTTGGGGCTAGTCATCAGAATGTACCTTCCACTCCCTTCGCTGCATTTTCATAAAAACGTACCAGATGCTATCCCAGAAGCACCAGCAGGGAGCAGACAGGTACTGCAGATGCTGGTAAAATGAACTATGTGGGCAGAGCACTTAAAGAGTTTCTGCTACTTATTGTAATACTTCTGTGTGGAGGTGTACTTTTACAGAAATATACAAGTACAGCACACACTCAACCAAGACACACTGAAGGTTGAAACAAAGTCTCTGCCCATGAACATAATTTCCTCTAGTCTTACTAACAACAGCAGGCAGGGTGGTACAGAATGCATATAGGACTCTGAAGCCCCACCTTTTGAACACAGGAAGACTTCCTCTTCCTTAACATTCAACAGCCTTCTATCCGTGCAGCAAGTACATTTTCAGACCCCTGTGGGCTGGACAGCTGCTTTCAAAACCACAGAAAATTGAATCTATTGGAAACCGAATGACACACTGCTGGTGCTCTTCGGATAGCATCTGGTATGTTTTGATGAAAACACAGCTATTGGAATGGAAGGTACATTCTGGTGACTAGCCCCAAGGGAGAATAATGTCCAACTGGCTTGTTAACTTGCAAAGTAAAAGTTTTTCCCCATTTTTTTGTGTTTGGCTCTGAACCACCCCTGTTTATACTGTGCCCTGGTGCTTTACCGAGTTCCATAAGCAGGTGTAGACACAATGTGCCTGAAAGAACTTGCAAGCTATATACAAACAGTGAAGAGCAGGAACTTCAGTGCACGCCCCAGTCCTGGGTGTAGCTCTTTATTTACAGCATGGATTAGTGGCAAAGGTGTTGCATTCGTTAGCTTTTCTTGTTTACAGCAGAAATCTCTTTTCTGCATATTCCGCAGTGCGGATGAAGTTAAAACCAACAGGGCCTGGAGTCAGCCCTAACTGACTCCAGTTAACGTGTGGCACCGACACACACAGAGCGACAGAGGAAAAGCCCTGCTGACACAGCACAAGGAGGCAGGCAGCCACTGACCCAAACCCCCTCTATACCAGAGGTTCGGCAGGCTGTTATGTCCTCATATCGCTTCCTGCTTGACACTGCTGCCCCCCCCCCATTCCCCACCCGTGCAACCTGCAGAGGATATGCCTTGGGATAGGAAGTCAGAGGGCTGGTTCAAGCTGTGAGCTCACTGCTAGCCCTTCATGCATTTCCTGTAGCAGAACAGAAATGCAGAAAGGAACCCTGGAGCACATCTTTAGCTCCTCTCAGAAACTTGCTCATTTTGCAAACCCAAACCATGCAGAGTACCTTCCCTGCTGGGGAGTAGTCCTCCTTCCAGATGCAAATCTTAGTCCTGTTTTCAGAATATTTAGACATGAAAAACAACTATGCATCTATCCTTGAGAGGAAGTAGATAGCCTGAACTGTATCTGAAAACTTTGCTTGTAAGCTAGTTAATGTGCTGATAATACATTTTTACTTGTTTGCCTTGAAAAGCAACAGGTATGGGATCAACCTAACAATAGAAACCTGGATTTTTCCTTTTTGGTAGTATATTGTTATAGCAATTATTTTACTCTAATTGCCTTAGTTCCATCCTACGGACTCTTAGGATTTGCAGTCTGGGGAGACCTTAGAGCCATCTGGCTGAGAATTCTAAACATGCTTTCCTAAACCACAAATCAGAGCACTATAACTGTATGGTGTGAAAGGGCAGTAATTCAGGCTTTCTATCTTATGTACAGGTTACACTGACAAAAGAATGGTTTTATACCACTACCTGTCATGGTTTCCTTCAAAAAATCCTGAAAGACTAAAAAAAAAACTACCAGGCAAATTCCCATGAATGAAAGATTCACGAGTCAAGCCTCCCAAGTTCTATTTGTGAGGTTCCTCCTTGTTTCCAGAAACAATCAATTTGCATTTCCTTCCTCTGAAGAAGCTTGATCAGCACACTATGATGACATTCTTAAAAAGGAAGTATGCTTGCGTTAGAGAATTATTCATGTGCCTCTCTTGTGTGAAAGTAGAGCTGAGACCAACAAAGACCTGACCCTCCTACTGGCTTCAGCCCAACTTCTACTTCAACATCGGATCATGTGGAATCAAGGAGCTACAAAGGAAGCAAAGATCTTCCAATGCAGTGATTCTAAACCATTAGTCCTCCAGGTGTTTGGGGGTTCAATTCCCAGAGGGCCAAACAGGTATAGTCAGAGCTCTTCAATTTTGATAGTCCAAAACATCATCATCATTAACAGAAACAACAATCTTTATCACAGTCATTGACCAGCATATCCATAACATCTGGAGGATCAGTGGTTGAGAACCACTGTTCTAACCTCACGTGTGTCAAACTCATTAACCACAGCAACAACAGTAATATCATCGTTACACTCATTGATCATATAAGTCCACCATAGAATCCTGAACATACCTTTGTCTATTTTCTGAAATGAAGTAGGATTGAGCTGATAGACCAAGTAAAACTATAAGTGAGTAACTTATGTGTTAATTGTAATAGATCTTGACTGCTAATGGTAGATACTAATTTTGGATGCTATCTTGGTTTAATAAGTTATACTTTCCTTATAATAAATTACGAAAAGGGATGTTTCTATTGTTATCATCTTTACCATCAGCATGAATCCACTTGCCCTATGAAAGGAAGAACCTGTTGGCTTGGCTACTGCACCAAAACCCAGAAAAGACAAACACAAACCCCTCCATGTATCGGTAATAACAATATTTTGTGCATTTATGTACATTATCATTGCAAAATGTTTTAGGAACCAATCTCAGGAGTATTGTGTAACAACAATTTTTAAGTTTCAAATTCTGAGATTCTGTTACAACACTAGAAGGGTATTTATCTTTACATATAAACCTTTTCAAGCAATTAATCAGTAAAGTACTTAAGTCAAACAAGTTATTTTTAATCAGGGGACAGTCTTATTAGAAAAGACTCACGTTGATGTGATGGTTCGGAAACGTTCCTGCCCTGCAGTGTCCCAGATCTGTAGCTTGACCTTTTCTCCATTGATCTCAACTGTCCGGATTTTGAAGTCTACTCCAATTGTGGTAATGTAGCTGCCTGCCAAAAGAAACGGCACACAACAGTAGTGGTCAAAGTGACAAGTCATTCCACCTAAGAAAAAGTACTGCTTTCTAAATGCCATTGTGTTTATAATACTGACTAGGAAGAGCGCTCTGCCAGCAATGTAAGAGCATTTGCTGTTCACCAACCAATGTTTCATCATCAGTAACCTCTCAAAACTTTAATCCTAACAATGAACACAAACTTTGGATTTTTTCAGGAACACGGACTGAAGAAACATCAGCATATAACAGGGAGAGGAGAACCTTCTTGAGCTAAAATAATAAGTATGCAAATCTGAATGCAAGCCCATTATATAAACACTCTGTAAAAGACCTCAATCTATAGCATCCAAGAATTAAGAATGGAATGGTACACCATGTGTTGCTTAATTCATTTCAGATGTACCACCCATCATGTTCCAAATGTCCAGAGCAAGTCATAGTTTTTGGAACTGACAGAGAACTGTAAAAATGATGTGTACATGAAAGTAGCTTATCTGTCCCATCTTCACTCATCCCAACTACCCCCCACCCCCACCCCAAAGCACCACACCATGTCTGGGTTTTAAGAGGAAAAGAGGCCTGCAATCAGGAGGATCATGTCTATTCTCACATGGATCTCAGTGAAGCTTCTTTATTCCTGTTTTAGTTCAATGTGGGTGGTTAACAACCTATACAAAAATGCATGTAAAATGGCTATTCTTACTTACTACTCTTATTTCCAGAAGATGTGATTTAGAATCATGCTGTTAAGTGGGTTTCTTCTTTGTAGGTTGATAACAATTCTAGGCTTTTTTAGGGAAAGGCAAGATATAAATAAAAAAGAGGAATGCTGTAGAGACAGGAAGACACTCTTGCCTTGCACAATTCACTGCCCATAGGGAGGAGTGACATTCTCAGCCCCTTCTCTTTCCCTAGAGAATTTGTTGAGGAGTATTAACTCCCCAAGTAAAAACACTTGGCCACCTCACCTGAGAAAGTGTTGTCGGCAAAACGTAACAGCAAACTACTCTTGCCAACACCTGAAAGATAAAAGAAAAAATAACCTATTAAAATACCAAATCAGAAGCAGAAATGATTGAAAAATAAAATGCCATGGATATTCTGGGGCACATATTTGGTATGTATTCTCTTCCTTGCTCCTTGTACATTTAATGAAATATCTTTGTAAGTGCCCATTTGGGCATACGTGCAAACAAGTAGGTTTCTGCAAATTTGTTCCCCCACCTCCCGTTTTCCAGAAAGCTCAATATCCAGCACCATATTGTGTGTGTTTCTTTGCACAACACCAGCTTGCCTTCTGTGAAATGGGCATCTATGTAATTTGGCATCTCAGACTCAGTCACATGTCTCTGAGCCACATTACATTGCTTTCTGTGAAGTCAAAAGACAGACTTTATGTTTTGAAACTCAAGCCTAGCTGTAGTTTTATGTTTTGGGGTATGTTACTTTCCTTTTAACTCAATACTTTACTTTTTAGGTTTTTTTATTTTTTCCGACTGGTCATTTCTATCATACTATCCCTCTAGCAGATGGGCAAAGCCAGTTCTTCCATAGCAGCTGCTTTGTGACTGTACCCATGACGCTCTCACAAAATTCCAAATGGGTCCAGTCATCACAAAGGGACCAATATATTTTTAAGGGAAACTGAGCTGCAAATATAGATTAACACTGTCTTTTTTCACAGCTTTATTTCATATAGCTATTTTGCACTTATCCCAAACAATTTCTTCATATTAAGTTGCATGCAGAAGTTTCCATGTTTCAGTCCTGGCATCGTTCGTTTAAAAATACCCTGGAAGCAAGTAATTTCAATGATGCCAGCCTGTGTTTTTGAATGCCTGCTGCCAGTCTGAGTTAACAATAATGGACCAATGTTTCCCTGAACTCCTAGAAGCAGAAACAAACACCCACAAGTAGAACAAGCACAAAATGCTATCCAATAAAATCCAGCAGATACACAGTGTTGCTTCAGCATCTAGAAAAGCTGCCTCAACCTCCAATGAAAAACACAGGGACCATGGACTTGTTTTGCTTTGGCATCTAGCAGATATCTACCCTGCCGCCCACCCCAAGCCATGCACTTCCACCTCTTAACTGAAATGGGCAAGGGGGCTTATTCTATCTCTATGCACAGCAGGTGCTCTAAAAATCCAGAAGGTTTTTCAGGTATGGGATACAATCCAGCACCTCTGCCTCCCTCCCCCTGCATTAAGCTGGAAAGGAGTGTCAGCTGCATGTCGCAACTGGCACTGGGAATGTCTGAGAGGCACAGAGGCAGCCCCACGTGCCAAAGCCTCTTGTCTTCAGTTCAGGGCCTAGAAGGGTGGCAGAGGATCTTCTGGGTCTTTAAGAAATGCAACTGAACAGTGAAGTAAAAAATGCCACTCATGGCATGCCTCCCTGCCCTCCTTTAACTACACCCACTGAGCACTGCCTCTCGCATACTAGCCACAGAAGGACATGCAGAGTGTTATGTGGGAAGCTCCACACCAGAGAAACAAATGGTTGGAGGCCTTTCCTAAACAAGAAAAGGTACTGGCAGATGTAACAAGATTGTGTGGATGAATAGTTAGCAAAAAGATCAGTCTCTTTGTTGTTGTTGTTGGTGGTGGTGGTGGGGATTGGCGCAGTTTGGCCAACTCATCTTAGCCATAGGGTTTCCCGAAACAAACAAAAAGGGTTAATACTTACTAATCAATCTTTGCAAAAAAATCAACACATCTAATGGGAGTGGTTACCTTAATAGTGAAGCTCCTGCTTTATACTCCAGCCTTTTCCCCAAGACTGGGACTCAAGGAAATGTAGAAATTAAAATGATTACAATATAGTTAGAATCATACAAAAAGCCAAAATTCAACAATGCTAAAATAAATTTAAAACACACACTTCAAGACAAAAAATGGAAGTTAAAAAGAGTATAATTTGGAACAGTGCAGCACCCTCTTAGAAGCTTTTCCTTTTTTTAAAAAAAGCCCCTCTGTCCTAAAAGCATGTTAGAATAAATGTCTCTGTCAGTGGAAGAACAACAAAGTAGGGGGCGTTATAGTCAGGGAAGGAAGTTCTAAACCTCAGGGGTAACTACTGAAAAGACCCTATCTTTCTATACCCCTTATTTTCTATCATAAAACATACTCTCACAACTACAACTGTGTGTCACATTTGGACAAAGAGGAGCTTTCAGTAGTACTGGTTTGGCTTTTAGTTGCTGAAGCATGTTTTTGGAAATGCTAGGAAAAAGCCAGGATGAATTTGTGTGCATCTGTATTTATTTATTTATTTTTCATATTTGCATCTCAGCTTCAGTACACAAAGGGACTCAACCATTATCAGCTGCACTGCTTGGAAACAGACTTTCCAAAACCCTATTAAGAGAGTTTTCTCTATCTTAGATATAGAAGCTATATTCTATAACCTCCATCACTTCCAGCCAACAGTGGCCATACTGTTTGATTGTGATAGGAGAAATGGGTTGTAGTCCAACTTCTTCATCTGAAGAAGACCACACCAAGAAAGGTTGTATGAAAATCTCTTCATGCACCCCTAAAAGAGCTACAGATTTGGTACCCTAGCAGGATGCCCAAACATCAGAGACTATGGGTGTTGTAGTCCAAAAGAGCTGGAAGGCACTTGTTTACTTACGCCTGCAATATGTAGCAAAGAAACGATTCCCTGATCACAAGAGATAGAATTCTTAAGGATTCCCAGTCTTTCACAGACTGCTGTCTGGCAAGTGTACAGGCTATTCTAATTTTATGGACAGGAATGAAAACTCACATTACTTTTCCACATCTAAACCTTGTTACAATAGCACACGACTGCGATTTCCATTGAATAACAGAAACACACACTCATTGTTCACTACAACAGGCCTCTTTATGAACAAAAGAATGAAACCGAAGCCCTTTACTAGGCCTGAAGCAGGTCACCCAAATCTGCATTTACAAGCAAACTGCAACCCTTCTGCCCTTCCACTGTGACTCACTAATGAATGACTGAGACCTACAGACCAAGGGACTTTCCACACAGTATGGAGATGGTAATTCTTCTGATGCAAACATATATTTTGCTCTTCTAAAACATATGTTCCAATTTGCTTTCCACAGAATACATGGTGGGACTGAGAAATCATTACATTGGCTGCTTCCTTGCATCATCAAAAACTGCCAATATTTAAAGTGAAGAATACTAGACAGAGGAGTAAGGCACTGTGTGTCAAGTAATTGAGCTACAGGCTTCCTGTGTCGCTTTCCAAAAACTCCTAGACAGAAAGTGGAGTCAGGATGCTGGTACTGCTAGCTCTCACAAGGAAGTCAAGAGAGCCAATGGAAACTTGTACAAATAAGCACCACTTCATACATTATGCATTATCTACATTGGTATTTCCATGTAGGGACATTTACACAACACATTTCAAGCACTCTAAGTATTGCATAGATATTATCCTTGTAATCTTTACAACAGTAATGTAAATTGGACCTGTACTGCAGAGAAGTGGAGCTGAGAGAGTAAAAACTTGTTTCAGGCTTTTTAGTGAGTTTGTGATCAAAGTGAAATCTGAAGCAAGGCCTTCCTGGTTCACACTTGGCTATTACACTAAAATGAAACTCATTATGCTTTCTAATGACCTTTATGAACTGCACAAAAAAAGAAGTGATCCAGGTTCTGCCCTTGGGTTTATGCAACTTAATAAGACTAGACACCAAAGGGAAGGAGAATATGAAAAAGCTCTTCCAAGTATTCGCTCTGGGAACAAAGAATTGGTTTTAATTAACAGACATTAAACTACATTCTCATAGGATGATTTACAAACCTTCACACCTCTATTTGCGATTGCCTCTTTCCTCATGTCCCAGGCTAGTTCTTTCAAATCAACCAAGTGCTTCCCATTAACAATACAAGCTGTACTTCAAGCATGAACCTTCTTTTCCCCGCGGGACCATCAAATGATGTAGTCAGAATCCAATTAAGGCCCCTTCCACACAGCTGAATAAAACCCCACATTGTCTGCTTTGAACTGGAATATATACTGAGTCTGGACTCAGATAACCCAGTTCAAAGCAGATACTGTGGGATTTTCTGCCTTGATATTCTGGATTATATGACTGTGTTGAAGGGCCCCAAGAGACCATGGAGGACTTTCCTCTTCCTTAAATTAGGAGTGACTGGAACGCTGTTTGTACAAGGAATACAAATTCAAATTGTATTCAAAAGTCATTAGTCTATTGACTGCCTCTTAGCTTATCCTACAATGCAAGACTGTTGTGAGCACAAGACATTGGTCTAAGCTCTTTAGGATGAAAAGCAGGAAACAATGTTTAACTGTACTGCTTACTCATCCTTTGCTACTTGCGCCTAATCCTCCTCCTTTTCTAAGACAACATTTAAATTATAAGTTGACTTGGACAGAAAGCAATTCTCTTCTGTTATAGCATTCTTCAAAGTACCATATGTATTTTAAAACTGTTGCAAAAATCTTAGTGACAATACAAACAAGACTCTAGCCTTTAAGTAGGTGTTTAGTGGCCATGGAGATGAAATGAAAGGTATTTACATGTTAACTTTTTCATTTTCAGCTATTCTGTTGTTTTCTATTTATATGGCATGTCAGAGTAATCTGCCAAAGCATATTAGTATATACACTTACTGATATGTTGCATAGTTTGTTTATTAACTATCAGTCACAAGGGTGTCCCACCCCTTCCGCCAGATAGTTTGTGGTGACATACACAGAAGTCCTATCCCCTTTTATTCCCACAACAAGCTTGAGAAGTATGCCAATTTGCTAAAAGGGCACACAGTGGGCACTGCAGCAGAAAGGGCCTGGCCAAAATCCAATTCTTACTTCCAACTACAGTAGACCCATTGAATGGATGGAAAACTGGGAAGTCGGTCCTTATGTAACTTCCACTGATTTGGTGGCTCTGCTCTAGTTGCAACTAACAAATGGATTTAGGCCTCTCTCAGACCTCATCAATCTCAGATCCAACATTTTTCTGATAACTAACTGTAGTAGAATACA